AAGTGACTCCAGTCAATACTAATGTCACATGTATGTTTAACTTATGTATGCCAGGCTCGAAACTTACTGATACACCCTTATGTCTGCAGAACTCTTCTATAGACAACAATACCTCCTTTATGTGCTGGCAATTTGATACCTCACCCTGAGAATGTGGGTTTGAATCCTGAGTTCAGTTCAACCCCCAAAAGTACTAGAATCTGTCCTTTACTGAGAAAGTAATCCCAAATATACCATTGCATTTGACCACTTTCTAAATGGCATTGTGTATTTAAAACCTCAGAAGAACATATTAAGCTACTATTATACTATGAATCCTGCACCTAATACAGAATTTGCATTTACTTTTCCACTACATCTACTGACCCAAACAGTATCGTGTCAATAGAAATGAGAATATACTGAGCTTCACTAACCTATTTGTATTTCGACCAATCTAAGGTAATTGGTAAGCAAGAATGTGTAAACCATGAACTGAAAAGTGTGGAAAAAAGCTACTGGTCCCATGATATACTTGCATCATGATGTTAGTAAGGGCATTTGTATGAATCACTATGGGACAAGGTACAACTAGAAGCATCATTCCTTGGGATGTGAATGCTTTGTGTAAATAAACTCACTTTGAGATACTTGGTGTTGAGTGATTTTTCAGTTTAAGTTCTCTGGGCTGAAATTAAAATGAGCTTCTTTTGTGTGCTGCTTGTTCTTTGTCATAATGATGAATTTGTTGAATTTTGATTTAAAATGGCCTCCATTGGCAGCCATATTGTAAGAATAAAATTATACACAAACAATCCAGTGATCAACAGCATGAGCATCGATCTATGAGATTGGGATACAATGACATGTGTCAACCAAGTCAGCGAGCCTGACCACCCGATCCTGTTAATCGCCTCTTACGACAAGCATGGGTTGCTGAAGAATTCTAACCTGTAACATCATTGGTCTGATACAGCTGGAATACTGCTGTGACTTCAAGAGACGTACACTCGCTGTTCACATTCCCTATGGGAAATCTGACTTAGAATTGGACCCACAAATTGAGCTGGTTGGAAGTGGCACCAAATAACATCGGGTAGTCCAGTTGGTTGAAGGAGTGTCACCTTATTCTGATGACCATGGAGTGTTTCTCAAAAGATCCCCCACTGGATTGCCTTGTCCAGTCTTCAATACTTTCCAGTGTTCAGTGTGGCATCAAAAATATAAACTCAAACACTGTTCATGCACTGTAAATAACAAGGAGGTTGATTATGATTGGTTATCATGTTTATTGGGAACCAGATTAGAAACAATCTTGTATAACAGACTGGTCACCTCTGCATATTTTCTCATTTACAATGAATTTCACACTGTTATATAAGTATATGGTTAAAAGGGCAGAGACATCACATAGTACACAGGAATGGCACAATTTGAGAACATTTATGGCACTATGATCCCTTAAAATAACAATTGTACCCATAACAAAAGTAACTGGGGTTTAATGCTGGTTGGAACAGTATTCCAGGTATATTGGAACAGTTGGCTTAATGTGAGGGGAAGCCTAGTGGTTAAAGCGTTGGCTCGTCACGCCGAAGACCCGGGTTCGAATCCCCACATGGGTACAATGTGTGAAGCCCATTTCTGGTGTACCCAGCCGTGATGTTGCTGAAATATTGCTAAAAGCGGCGTAAAACCAAACTCAGTCAGTCAGTCAGTCAGCAATGTGAGGAGAGCTCAAAGTGATCCATGTCTGAGACATTTACAACCTTAGTGAAACCTATCAGTGAGTGAGTGAGTTTGGCTTTACGCCACTTTTAGCAATATTCCAGCAATATCACATCAGAAATGGGCTTCACACATTGTACCCATGTGGAATCGAACCTGGGTCTTCAGGGTGACGAGCAGACGCTTTAACCACTGGGCTACCCCTCCGCCCCGAAACCTGTCAGTATGGAAATGGTGGAGACAAACCTAAAAGTCGTAATCAGGGCAAACTGGGATTCAAACCCAGGATCACTGATTTCTAGCAAGGGAGGCAACTCTACACTGAAAAGTGCACCAACAACTGGGGCACCTGCTCCTCAACTATTTCTAGACCATACAGGATTCATACACAATTAGCCTGACAGATCTTTATGACTCTCACAGATTATCATTCCAATTTAACAAGACAATGGCAATAAGATAACAAACTGATAACAACACACAAAATGGCTAATGCTTGATATGTACAACTGAAAAGAAACTTTCAAAACTTTCAAGAAATTTCAAGTGTACAACAGTGTATTGGGTTATGGCAGGATATCTAAAACAATATGGAAGAACTGGGTGCTTGCCAACTCCGTTCAAGTAGCAGATCACCAGAAAAATCTTACTGGCGTAAAAATATTACACTTCATAACAATATTTCATTTTTCAAAATTATTGTGCCCTTGAAATTCAAACTGAAATTCCATGCTTTCATGACTTGTATGACCCTAGCCATAACAACATCCAGTTCAGTTGATTGTTATGCTGTTCCATCAGTTATGCTATTCAACAAAGGGTAATTCTTAATCAAATTCTTATTACTACAAACATTCACTGACAATCATATTTTCAGCAATCATAGACACTGTATCATTCATTTACACTTAAAAACAGTATAAGGTTAAGACATAAAGAGGTATTTTTACAAGATACCATTTACAGGTATTTTAACAAGAGATAATATCCAGGTACCGTATATAAGCCGATCTCATAGATAAGCCAACCCCCAAACTTGACCCTTAAAATCAGTATCAAAATGGTATGTTTCATACATAAGCCGACCCCCTGTAATGGGGGTCTTAATAGCAGCCAACTCAGACCACGTACAAGACAACTGACAATCATAAGTATGTTTGGTAAGAATAAATAGGGGAAATCTACGGTAATATACAGTATTTTATCAACAGACCATATACAGGTATGTGGTCTCTCAATAAAATCAAAACAATGTGACTCTTGACTGAAACCTCTGAGAACGTATGACTTGGTTTCTTTAGGTTTCTTTTTGTCAAAAATGAAACCTGTTCACATAGTCCACTTATTGTTTTCATTCAGAACTATGGACCAATGTGTTTAGTATTGTCCGGATGCAGGCTTTCATAAATCAACTGCTGCCTATCTACTAGTTTAGGCATAGAGAAACCAGGCAAATAAAGACCTGTCTGTTTTAAAGTCTTGCTCCCATAATCTGTTTCTGCAATAAAACATATGTCAAATTCCATAATTACATTAAACTGAGGTTATAACAAGTGAGTGAGTTTAGTTATATGCCGCACTCAGCAATATTCCAGCTATATGGCGGCAGTCTGTAAATAATCAAGTCTAGACCAGACAATCCAGTGATCAACAGCATGAGCATCGATCTGCGCAATTGGGAACCGATGACGTGTCAACCAAGTCAGTGACCCTGACCACCCGATCCCGTTAGAGGTTATAACAAACTGAAAGGTACCAATATTCTTAGTTCATAATAACCGTAGTTCATTATATGCATTTCAGCTTAAACACACACCAAGTGTTCAGGACCAAATACATGTATAAGTCATCATATCCGTCACTTCATTATAAACATGTTCATAATACATGTTAACTGTATGTTATTTGATGCATGGAATGTCAGTACTTCACTGTAGGGCCTGCCACTATACAGTTCTACCAAGTTTCACCTATCGCCTCATCAAGGCCTCTTTTCAGGACCCTTGGATGGTTTGCTTTCTGATTAATTCCACACTCAGCAATATTCCAGCTATACAATGCCCTGACAATCCTGAGTTTTGGTTTTATGCTACTTTTAGCAATATCCTAGCAATATCACGGCAGAGGACATCAGAAATGGGCTTCACACATTGTACACATGTAGGAAATCGAATGTCTTCAGCGTGACGAGCAAACGCTTTAGGCTACCCCGCCACCCCTGATCAATTTACTGAGTAATGTTGTCGGAGAATGAGACCCACCATCAACCACGTCACCGAGTCTGATTGACCGATTGATTGGTCCTCAGATGCTGGGGACCTACTATCCCATTAGAGGTTATAACAAACTGAAAGGTGCCAATATTCTTAGTTCATAATAACCGTGTAGTTCATTATATGCATTTCAGCTTAAACACACACCAAGTGTTCAGGACCAAATATAAGTATAAGTCATCATATCCATCACTTCATTATAAGCATGTTCATAATAAATGTTTACTGTATGTTATTTGATTTATGAATGTCGGTTCTTCACTGTAGGGCATGCCACAATACAGTTCTACCAAGCTTCACCTATCTCTGGTGTCCCTTTCAGGACCCTTTGATGTTTGCTGGAATATTAGTTCCACACTCAGCAATACCAGCTATACAGTTCTACCAAGCTTCACCCATCTCAGTTAACCTGTATGTTAGGTTTGATTTTATGGAATGTAGTTCCACACTCAGCAATATGCCAGCTATACAGTTCTACCAAGTTTCACCCATCTCCTCATCAAGGCCTCTTTTCAGGACCCTTGGATGGTTTGTTTTATGATTAGTTCCACACTCAGCAATATTCCAGCTATACAATGCCCTGATAATCATGAGATATATTCCCGAGAGTGAGTTGAGTTTTGGTTTTAAGCTACTTTTAGCAATATTCTAGCAATATCACGGCAGAGGACATCAGAAATGGGCTTCACACATTGTACACATGTGGGAAATCGAATGTCTTCAGCGTGACGAGCAAACGCTTTAGGCTACCCCGCGGCCCCTGATCAATTTACTGAGTAATGTTGTCGGAGAATGAGACACACCATCAACCACGCCACCGAGTCTGATTAATCCTGACCTCAGATGCTGATTGGTCCTCAGACTGAGTTTGGTTTTACCTACTTTCAGCAATATTCCAGCAACATCACGGAATCACCAGTGGGATTAGTAATTGTACCCATGTGGGGATTCTATCTTGGATAATATTAGGCTACCCCCACCATCTTGGGACCTACTTTCAATCACTGTGGGATTAGTAATCGTGATTTGGAATATAATAAAATCTTGACCCTCATATGTAAACCTAAGTCATGCATTGCAGATTGACTAGAGCTAGATTATGGCAAATTAAATATAACTACAAACAGCATGAAAAGGGGCTTAATAATACACATTGTATAAGGCATGGTCTAACAAACATTCTGTCTTTGTCTAGATATCAGGGTAAAAATATACTGCTCAGTATTTGGTAAGGATGTCCTGCAATATTGATGCAATCCTAAAACTTGGGTGCAAGTCCTTCTCTCATTGTGAACCCAAACTATTGGTTGTCATTACATTTTCGTATTTTCATGAATGAAATGACACGCATAATATACTATTATCCCATTTGATAGGGATAATCAGATTAGGCATTCTGTTCAATTGTACACCTCATATGAGAATAACTTTTGTATATAAGGAAAGATCAAAACATCCCTATCCAAAGTGTAGTACAAAACAGTGCAATACATTGAAAGTTTGACAAAGACGGATGGTTAGCTGATGGCAGACCCACTCAGACCTTAGTAACTAATCAGATGACGGCCTACCTTCATTTTCAGAAGCCATTTTGAAAGCCTATTCGGTCAGTTCAATAATGGAACACTGTGAACTTACTTCAACCATGCATGCATAGGGTCCATATAATTAAAAACATGTATGTAAATTAAATCAATTCCTACACTCAGTTAATTCTTAATAAAAATATATTCATCAATATAACAATGGTGTAACTCAGTTATCAACAACATTCACTAGGAAAATAGTTTGTGTATGTTGGACGTCTTCGTGGAATTGTCTTAGTATTAGGACTTCACTTTAATATTAAACATTAGCTTCTGATGCAAAGTCACTGCCGTTTTCATCCTTGACAGGAAGTTTCTCGTGTAGATATTGCAATTTCCCTTGTGTGAAATCTGCGACCGTCTCCCCCGAACCAGACAACAGCCATTTTGTGGTCAGCAGGCCCTCGATGCCTACAGGGCCCCGAGCATGGATACGAGATGTGCTGATACCGACCTCAGCCCCTGAAACAACATGAAGGTCATGAGAAGTCAGAGACAACTTGCTGAAATGACAAACAGTAACAGATGTCATAGGCAATCCATGCTGTTGGGAGTACGACGACATACTATCACTTTACAACTAGAGGTGTAATGATAGAGCGGGGCAGCGAAACAATAAGTATCCTGATAATAAGGGTGCGATATATGTTTTGCATCCTTCGTTGGTTGGTTTTCTGTTTAACGCCGCACTCAGCAATATTCCAGGCATATGGCTGCGGTATGAAAATAATTGAGTCTGGACCAGACAATCTAGTGATCAACAGCATGAGCATCGATCTACGCAACTGGGATATGATGACATGTGTCAACCAAGTCAGCGAGCCTGACCACCCGACCCCGTTAGTCGCCTCTTACAACAAGCATGGGTAGTTGAAGATCAATTCCAACCCGGATCTTCACGGGTCGATTTGTATCCTGATACAATTCTTTATTTGATAAGTTCATATTCTCTCCATTTGTGCAAGTGAATCACGACCTTGAATCATTTGCTTTTAGACATCGAAAAGGGAAGAAACATACAAGCTAGGGGGTCACTGTGAAGATTCTGATATTTACAGTCAGTCTGGAAATACTAGATAACTTAACCAGTTGATCCTCTCAGGACATGCATAAGTTACTAGAGACTGTTTGTAACCTTAACTTCTAAATCCACGGATATGCAGATATAAACACATAAAACATTCAAGTCGATTCTTAAATATCCCAATGATTGTCAAAACATACATGTATTTTGAACAATCACGTCAGTCAGTGAGAACGGTTTTATGCCGCTTATGCTGCAGCAATATCACGGCAAGGGACACCAGAAATGGGCATCACACATTGTACCCTAGACTAAGGCTTAGTCTCTGAATATATATAATTTGTGAGAGTAACAAACAAGCCCATTTATATTGAAAAGGAGCCCTAGGGAGACCAGAGATTCAGAACCTGAGGAAATCTAGACTTGCTTTATTTAGAGCTTTAGCACTGCAGGGAGGGCTTGGCAGTAGGGAAAATAATGTGGTTCAGGGACTGTGAGACAGACTAATTGTACCCATGTGGGAAATTGAACCCGGGTCTTCAGCTTGACAACAGAACACTTTAACCACTAGATTACCCCAACACCCCTGAACTACCATGTAATCAAACCTATTGATACAGTAGAACACTTTTATAACGAACACGGATATAACGAACTGACAGCTATAGTGAACTGTTTTAAAAGTCCCGAATAAACCTTATATTATCATATAAAAAAGTGAATAGCGAACTACGGATATAACGAACTAATTTCAGTGGTCCCTTGGAGTTCGTTATAAAGGTATTTTACTGTATATCTAAACGGAACTAGTATACTACTCAAAGTTAAGGAACACTTAATTATTCCATGTCACTACAGTTTGTTTCAGTTTGTGAGTTACTCACCAAGTCCAAACCTGTATCCATCTGCGAACCTGGTACTGGCGTTGTGGAACACACACGCACTGTCCACCATCCTCATGAAGTGACTCGCTGCTACATCTGTGTCAGCATATACATGTCCATTAACTAGTCCACTTACAAGTCACTCGCCTATTCAATTAATCAAGCTGTTTTCATTCATTAATTCAATGCTTTCTTTGTGGTCACCAGAATCAAATATTTATGAATATGGTTCCAAAAAAGTGTTTTTTACAAGGATTTTATTTGTTATTGGAACTCACCTGCTATTTATTACTGAGGAATATGGAATATATAAAAGTCAAGCAGTAGCGTAACTTTTGTCATTTCGCCAAGGCACCCTGCAGTACTGTCATTTGGCTATAACTGGCATTGTCATGATGTATGATGTTTTACAAAAAATATCACTGAATGTTTTACCTTATGCAATTTCATGACGTTTTTTTTTCATTCCTTGACAATAAACATAAAGCATTCCTGGTTAACTGTCTATATTCATGAATATATCGAATTTACCTCACAGTGCATTTGTTGCAGCTTTAATAATTAACCAGATCACTTCTTATATTTTTTATTCATAACTTCAGTGGATGAGTGGGATGTGGATTTCTTAAATTCAGGGTGGGAGGGTATGGGGAATGAGTATTTCATTGAGTATAGTATTACATTGCGGTCTACTCCCATTTGTGAGAACTCCCAGTTGTGAGACTCCCAGTCATGAGACAGTGGAGTAGGTAATCAACAACGAAAACACACCATACTCCCCTGTCTGATAGAATGGATTCACCCTAGCTAATTACTGATTTGCTATGTAACTGAATCTTGTGGAGGTAACTTCATGAAACTTTATAAAATAAATTGATTAACATCCTCAGGTAAATGTATTTAATAATTAAACACTTTGTGTAGGCAACTTCGTGATCAAAGAGAAATTAATTTACCTACTCAGATTTACTCCGTCTCCGAAACTACAAGCTATAGTTTAAGAAATAACTCTGAAATTTACAGTCGAAATGCCCCTTATGCCAAACCGTTTCTACCCGACACAATAAATTTATGGAATGCCATACCAAATTCCAAAGAGTCATGCAGTCTCAAAGAATTTTAAAACTCATTACAAAAAAACGAAAACAAGATACATATTGATCTTAATTGTGGTTCTTGTTTTTGTCAAATCGTTCATTGCTGCCTCAGGCTCGGATGTAGCGACCCAAACGCCCATAAGTATAACAGACATTTAATAGACAGTGCATGTTGCTCTTGTGGATATCAACTACCCGTTATAACCTGGATAATTTTTTGAACGGAAACAAAGAATTTACTCCTTGTGTAAACCAGAAAATGGTTGAATCCGTCCATGATTATATCATCAAGACACAACCTTCAAATTTTCACAGGGAAATACTGAAATAACTCAACAACCTTATCGTGATTGATTTATATTCCTACAATAGCTTGTTAGACACACACAACTGTAAGTCTCTAATTATGACTACTTAGAGAATAGTTGTATTTGATGTTATCTGTATATATGTATATGTACTTAAAAATATATTTATGCAATAGTCAATATCGATGACGTCACATCCTCCATTTCATTTTATATTTTGTGTTGTATGGGAGCGGTATTAACACAAGCAGTAATACTGCACCAATCCCAATTCATTTTCATAAATAATAATAAAATATGTTTAAACCAAAATGACTTTCAAACTTCATAATAGTCAATAAAAATGTGTTATCATAATTACATATTCTTCTGAATAAATAAAATATTCAATGAACTATTTCTTCTGTGTAAATATAATCTTTAATAATCTATTTCATTAATCAACTCATCAATGAACTAAGCCTCCTGTGGGTACTGGGCTGGGCCGATCCCACTTTCATTGTAGGGATGTGGAAACACCACCTATGTGCACTGAACCATTAATTAATGTGTCTCACAACTGGGAGTTCTCACAAATGGGAGGACACCTTACATTGCTGTTGTGTGAGACTCACCATCGTCAGTGACTATTGCATCGGTGTGGGAGCTGCCGAACTTGTTGATGTGTGCGATGGCCTCATCGATGTCCTCCACGACCTCAACTGTGCACTCAAGGGCACTGTACTCTGTCTTCATGGATGTGGCTTGGGTCGGCCCAAACTTCAGAGACTGACTGAGGCGGGGACCTGCATGAATCTTCACCTTCAAAACAAAGGTTATCAGAAGATGACATAATCTCCTGATCTTGTGCAGTTTGGCACTTTCCTCCATTTTTACTTATCATCATTGGATACGTTCAGTAGAGTGGAGGAAAATATCTGCTCTTCAGAAATGTCTCAATCATTAAAAAGCACCAGTTTGCCTTACTAATCATGCAATACTGATAGCAAGTTTCAACAAGAAATATTCAACGGTTTAGTTCCCAGTTTAGGAGTTCCCAAAATGGAAAACATATGGAGGATAGACAGACAAATGGATGGATGTTGATCGATGTATCCTCCCCATTTTTCTTCAAATAATGAAGCAAGTGAGACACATCTGAACATATAATAAAAATGGAAAAACATGATGCCACGCCAAGAGACGATAACAGAAAGGGCGGGGCTAGGGTTGCATCATTGTGTGTGGATGTCTAAATACTGAGGTCTGGACCAGACAATCATGTGATCATGAGCATCAACTGACCCAGATGAGGTGACATGTATACCAAGTCAGCAAGCCTGACCATCTTATCCTGCTTGCTGCCTCCTACAACAATCAGGGGTTGCTCCAGATAAATTCTAACCTAGGTATTCATCAGCAGCAAGCAGAATGACTCACTTAGGATCTCAAATATTCCAGCAATATCATAGGCTGAAGGTCGTGGGTTCGATCCCGACAAGCTATGGTACTTGGGAGGAGGCATTAATGGGTACAACAAGACTGAGTATGCAGTATAATGTGCTGAGTGGGGTATTCATGCTTCACTCGCGGCATGGTATCTCAGTGGGCTAGCACTATAAAACCAGCTTTAGTCTGGGCTAGTACAAGCAGCCGCACATACACATACACCGCGTATGCATGTCGTCACATAGGCGGATATAAACCCAATTTCACCTCACCTCACGGCGCGGGGGACACCAGAAATGGGACTCACATATTGTACCCATGTGGGGAATCGAACCCAGGTCTTCGGTGTGACGGGCCAACACTTTAACCACTAGGCTACCCCATCGCCCCTCAAAGCTGGATACTGTCCTATCAGTCATGCCACTATGTGACATTGAGTGCAACATTTCTGCCAAAGATAAGAAACGGCCACAGTATGTGACCTTCAGGAATGAAATGGGTAACTTACATTTTCTTGTTTGAAGGTGTCAAAGATCTTGTCGAAGAGTGGTGTGTAGAGATGTGACTTATGCAGGAGGAGCGTTTCCATGGCGTTACAGGCAGCAGGGTAATCACACTTGGCATCGTGAACTGTGGCAGGAACAGATCATATCTGACACAACTAATCATCAGTATATGAAAACGTGAATCATGGTTTGAAACAACTTGTGCCAGTGGCACTGTTAATATCAAAATGGCAGGGCTGAATATACGTCCTGTTGCCTTTAGGAATCACAGTCTAATCACATTTGTAAATTAAACATACCTCGTGTTGTGTTGATGGTGCTTATTATGTAAATCACGATATAATGTTTGTAGATGAAAGCCAACAATGCGTGTTGTTCTGCTTATTTTTAATGCCACACTCAGCAACAGTTGTCTGTAAATAATCAAGTCTGGACCACCGTTCTGTGACTGGAATTATTAGGGTGGGTATTGCAGAGATATATATTGTGATATATTGCGATGCGAAAGCATATACTGCGATATGTACTGCAATATATTGCAAGACATTTTTTTAACAAAAAAACCCCCCCTACTTATAATTGAGTTGATGCTTATTTATGAAGCAAAAACACAACAAAATCACTATTCTTGATTAAGCTTTAATAAAAACTTTCAATTTACTTTACCATTGCATATTTTACATACCGCGTTACTCTTATCAATAGTTCCATCTACCCTGAACTTTTTAAACCCCAAATGCTGACATACTGAAGCCTTTGCCCTTGTATTTGGCACCACAATAAATTGTTTGTTGTTGGGGGTTGCCATTTTGCAACAAACGCATGACTTCCGATGAGAAAAACGGAAATATCCAAAGATATTACGAAGTTTTCTGTATGCATGTCAAAATACCAATTTTCGATCAACGTATCGCAATATGTATCGATTTCATGTCTGAACCGGTAAATACCGGTAAACCGGTTATATTGTGCAGCCCTAGGAATTATTAGCATCGATCCATACAATTTGGATACAATGATATGTATCAACCAAGTCAGTAAAAATTACAAACTTATCCCATTGATTGCCTTTTACAACAAGCATGGGCAGCGGAAGACAAATGCTAAACCTGATGAAAAGAACTGCACATAGCATTTATCTGTATGAGCCAATCTTCTGTTTGGTACATATAAATCTCACAGGACATACATACTGGACCAACTACATCATATTCTGGGAGTTGCCTGGAATAAGTTTGAAAGAAAATAGTTTTTCCCAAATATAAGGAAAATATAATACTTGTTGGACATCCTGGATGTCCAGAAAGTTTTTTGCTGTTCCTGAAGTGCATGTGAGCAGTTATATATTGGAAACTTTACGAAACAAACTATCAATTTAAATAGGCTGAATTTAATCTTGCATCAGAAGAGATATATATGATCCGTATCTATTTTCCAGTAAAAAAATCACCTATTCTGTTTGCCATGTCAGCACTGGCGTGCTGGTCAATGTACACATGACAGATGCCCTCGCTGTGTCCGAGGACCGGAATACCCTGACTGGACTTCTGGATCTTCTCGATCAGCTCGCTAGATCCGCGTGGAATGACCAGGTCGATGTAGTCATTCATGTGGAGCAGATCCTCGATGTCCTCGCGCCGGCTGATCTGATGCAGTGAGGTGAATTATTGTCATCGCATTGAATATTATCATACACTGCAAGCTGCTTGTATAAGTTCGTAAAGTCTGCTTGTACACTGTTTACCTCACTATGACACATTATACGAATGCAGGGATGGCAATTTTCCGCTGATTTCCGCCAATTTTATTTCAAATTGATCAATTCAAACCCCCCCCATTCGGGGACACAATATTAGGTTTTCAGCTGAAAATAGATTTTCCTGTTGCCATCCCCAAACAAGAATGGATCAGTTTGACCCCATTAATGCCGAGCATCAGGCAGGAAAACAACAAGGACCATCTTTTGATGTTTTTTTAAATGAAATAGCCGGAAATTATACCCTAGTGTCCCACAGACTGAACCATGGTCATGGTGTACTGACTGACTGACTTGAGTTTGGTTTTACGCCGCTTTTAGCAATAATCCAGCAACATCACGGCGGGGGACACCAGAAATGGGCTTCACACATTGTACCCATGTGGGGATTCAGCGTGACGAGCCAACGCTTTAACCAGTAGGCTACCCCACCGCCCCTGGTCATGGTGTAAGGAACTATAACTTTAACCACCCTGCTATCCTATCATCCTTCATAAAACATATGACAGCTGGATATATGAAATATCAGTGCCAATACCTGTCTAAATATATAAGCAAAGCAGCATTTTCCTTTGAATGTTTATGTGAGGCATGAAATTGCCTGTGTTTATACTTGATTCAAATTGCCATATAGTTTGTACAGGACTGATCAAGATCAGTTTTAAGATTACACAGAGATATTTTCCCAAGTTCTGGTACTTAATTTGTGAGTCTAGGGGTAACTGGGTAGCATCAAATGATCACGCTGTCTCTTTAATCTGATAACTCCAAATATTGTCACATCAGAAAACAAACATACCAATGAGATTGTCTCCCTTGGAACATATGGTTCCAGAGCGTCCATGACAAGGGAGTGGAGCATCTTGTTGCTGTTGACAGCCTCCTTGCCTCCTTTCAGCAGCAGACCGTTACCGCTACAGATAGCCAGTGCTGCCACCTGGTGACAGGAAACCAAACTCAGAAAATACATCTCAGCAGTTTGGTTAGTCAACCTGTGTTAGTCCTCCAATCAGGTGTTTTGTTACCTTTTACCTTTGTTGTGCAGCACATGCTGTGTGGCCACTAGTGTTGGGAATTGGTTAAAATCTCTTAATTGATGATTGGTCCATTACAACCGATCAATCATCGAAAATAATTGGTTAGCGTCATTTATCAAATGTTCCTGTTATCTTTGTAAAAAAGAAAGAAAAAACATGTAGTAATTTGTTGTTTTTTTGCAAATTTTGCATATTTAAAGGATTATTAGTATATTAGGAACACAGATTTCCTGGATTCTTTAAGATAAATTCAATCATGACTTGGAACGAGCTTGTGCTTATGAAATGTAAATTTAATGATACAGACAAAAGCAACCTTGTGAAAAATATTGTTGATGCAAACAAGTGTTCCAAGATTGGTTGCGTTCGATTATGAGAAAACATGTTCGATTGCTTGGTCGTTTAGTCACTGCGACCAATCTTCGATTATTTCAATTAATCGGACCACCACTAGTGTCCACCTTTCTTCAGTAAAGGTTATAAGCTCTGAAAGCCTGAGTGTCATTGTACAAAGCAACCATAGTGCCACGACTGTCGTAAGTCTCTGTTAAGGTATGGGAGCTATGGCCACCTATGGCCGGTTTGTACAACAGCACCATGGAACATTAATAAATATTGATTATTCTTGACAAATATACAAGATAGCAGAATACTCCTTCTCTGCAGTAGAGACAGCATAGCTTTTGATATCTTTTTGTTATAGACACAGATATCATTTTTAACCAATCAGCACAGCATGCAGATTGTGAGTGTTTACCTGTGGCAGTGCGTCCGGTCTTGATTCAAATATGACCATAAGAACTCCAATGGGCACAGTGATCTTTTCCAGCTCGATACCCTCAGCGATGCGTGTCCGCTGTAGCACCCGTCCTACTGCAGAGAAAGAGTCTTCGGCTATCTTCCGCAGTCCGTCTGCCAGGATCTGCAGCTTGTTCTCGTTCAGGATGAGTCGTGACACCAGAGGAGATGCCAGTCCTGGAACACAGACAAGCACTGTAGCTCACCTCGCTCAATTTTGAAACAAGATAATAATATTTTTCACAATTTTGCCACCAAATACAAACTTTACGGTTAACAACTTCCTTTTTTTTGTGAGTGTGACGTTTCTAAACAGATTAATTAGTGCTTGACCACTGCACAAGAATCTGTATCAAAACGTTGCACCAACGAAATAAAAGAAGTTGCTATCCATCCATAAAGTTTGTCTATATTGTATTTCCCAACTTCTAAAATGCCACACAAAGAAGTTTCCCACCACAGGCTTTAATTTCAAATGCTTAATAATAATCTGTGCTTGATGCTTCCTGATTTACACGAAGCGCCACACTGCTGACCTGCAGAGTAGGCCTTCCTGACGTCCACCTGGTTAGCCTGCAAGATGTCCACTTTCTTCTCCATCAGCAGGTCTGCCAAGCGGTTCACGATGGCTGCCCGCTGACCACTGGTTAAGGCCTGAAGCTTCCTTGACCCATCTCGAGCTGACGGACAGAAATAGTGGAGTGAGTGAGGTGTCATGTTAATTTTAGCAATATTCCAGCAATATCATGGAGGGGGACACCAGAAATGGGCTTCACACATTGTACCCATGTGGGGTATCGAACCCCGGACTTCAGTGATGAGCAAAGGCTTTAACCACTAGACTACCCCACCACCCAGAAATAGTGGAATATCTCAATAAGGTATTCCAGATTAATGTTACAGTATGCTGCATAATCCAACTATAACGCCTGGTTACCTGATATCTGGAATATAGTTTGTAGAAGATAATAGTTGAATGTGATGGTTAATTTAAAATACTGGCAAAGGTTTCCTCCATCCTAGCAAATAAATCAAAATGATAAATAAAGATACCCAATTCAGGTAGAGATGGGACTGATGCAAGCTGAGCAGATCCACTTCTTCAACAGATTATGTTGTATAATAGAATAGTCATGTGAACTAGGGAAACTAGTAAATCCTGTTACAATAAGCTGTAAGCTGAGCACCTGAGCTGGGGTAGACTGCACTTTATGGGTCCCTGGAAGTTTACGCCATTGTTTGTTTACTCTAGCGAGGGTTAGGGTCTCGAAGGCAGGGACCCGTAAAGCGCAGGTGTCCCTTCCACTGCCTCACCTTGTATAGCTTGCACTTCCACTGGTGTTCCTACATTCTCCTCCATGGTGAAGAACGTTCCCACTTGCTTCCCTTTGACGATGTTGACGATAGCGTTTTCCTCACAACCGTTACAGATGACAACAGAGACTCCCAAGCTTCAGGGCCCAGGTTGCTGCGTTCACCTGGCAGAAAATCACAACATTGTTTTATGAATTTGTGTTGCACACTTTCCAATTTATAACTGCTCAATTGTGGTTAGACCATGTGAGATCTTATTATAACCAAAGTGGATCAGTGTGCACTCATTCGTTCTCAGATCCCTGTGGAGTGCAACTAAGTTGTATGTGAGTGTGGGGTGGTTATAAGTCACATTAGTCTAACCTACCAGGTACCCAGTAATAGTTGGGTGAACAGATGCATACTTTGAAAACAGCCACTTTCTTATATAAGTGTGAGTGAGTATGGTTTTATGCCGCTTTTAGCAATATTCCAGCAATATCTGGCAGAGGACATAAGAAATGGGCTTCACACATTCTACACATATTGGGAATTGAACAGGTTTTTGGCGTGACAAGCGAAAGCTCTAAACACTAGGCCCCCCAAACTGCTCACGAACACACCACGTTATATTGTTTCAGTGGAGGACAGGAAGTATCCAATTAATAAACAGTTGTTTCATTATTTGCACTGCATGATAGTGATCACACAGAGCAGACGTCAACACAAAAGCATTGAAGGAGTATTATAGAAACATCAGTTACTATCTGAACTTTCACTGAAACACATGAGTTAAGCCCATTTCTGTTGTCTCCTGACGTGATATTGCTGGAATATTGCTAAAAGCGGTGTACAAACTCACAGTCACTTCAGTGACATACCTTTGACTCCATCCCACCAAGTCCAACTCGAGATTTCTCCCCAAAGATGAGTCCATTATCTGGGTAAAGGGGTGAGTAGGTGTGGAGAAGGCGGGACTCTGGGTGTCCAGGGGGGGAGGTGTAGAGGCCGTTCACATCTGACATGATGATCATGAGGTCGGCACTGATCTCCACTGCAAGGCGTGCTGCGAGACTGTCGTTGTCCTTCACACTGATGATCTGAATACAGGCAGCAATAGCATGAGTGAGTGAGTGAGTTTGGTTTATATCCTGCTCTGAACGGGATTTAAATTGTATCATGATGGGTGAGATTAATGTAAGATGAAAATTAGAAATGGTGTAGCTCTTTCATGTGTATAAAATTGATGAAAAACATGAGCTCAGGTAAAGGGCTAACAAACCAAGAATCAGGGTCAATAGGGGATTCAGACCAATGATAATAAGGTTGTGGCATTTCCAAGAGATACATCTTAGTCCCAGGACACACTGTGAGTTGCTCTACCACAGGTGAAAGGACCCTGGCCTTACATATACATGTGCTAATAATCATGGAATACGCTTGATCAGTTTCATATTATTATCCATTGGTGATGAGACAAGTGTGACATAGACAATTTGTGGTGTCATACAAGGTTGACCATATTCAAAATGTTTTCAGATATGTTTCCTCAAGATGGATAGTGAGTTCAATGATATGTTGCCCTTTACAGTATTTCACTTAATTCACTGTTTCAGCAGCATGAAGTCAAAACCAAGAGAAAAATAAATCATAATCTAGGAATTTAACCAATGACAGCAGATCCTGTCCAAACTGGATTGCAGTGCCTCAGACCACTGAGTCACTTGTTGCCCAGCCTGCTGGTCTGTACTGTGAGGAAACTTGATGATTCTGTTTAGCTGTTCTACTGAGCTATTCATAATTATTAACTACAATACCAAATTGAAAATTTACTTAGGCCAAACCAATCTTATTTCTTGTTTTACGGATCCGCCAGTTGTATTTTTACAAGAATAAGAAAAAAAATAAAATTTAATTTTCCCTGCTCAAAAAAATAAAATCCTAATGTTTTATTGGTCAAAACTGTAAATTTACAAGAAACGTTTCGATTGTGTTTTGCCCCATACACACTTAATAAATAGCCAAAAGTAAATTACTTTTAGAATTTATTTATTTTTATTTTTTCCCCCCCCCCTGCCTAAAGGTTTTCTGAGGACAAAAATCTGTAAAAACAATAAATATAATTGGTCTGGCCTAAGAGGAAAGCGATTTTTTGACAGATGTTTGTTGCTAGCATATCTCAAGCAAATGGCACCATTTTGCCAAGACAGTATGAGACACCATATTTGTTTATGCAGTAATAAAAAAAGGACATGTTTTAATAATACATCAGTCAGCTATGCAGTTCCACCTCTCATGCAAACACTTTTCTTAAATTAGTCTATATATTTATCCCAGATACACGCCATCCCAACACTGTCATACCTGCTCATTCTAGGACAGTGATGTACAGTAGTTCCAGCAAAGCTCAAAGACCCATCTCAGCAGTCAGCTATGCAGTTCCACCCGAACATGCAAACACTTTTCTTAAATTAGTCTATATATTTATCCCAGATACACAATATCCCAACACTGTCATACCCGTTCATTCTAGGACAGTGATGTACAGTAGTTCCAGCAAAGCTCAAAGACCCATCTCATATCACCCTTCTAACATACAATCCCCTCTGGGGGATATAATGTAACCTGGCAATTGAATATGTACATGTTGGCACCAATCCATGGTTCCTGAAAATGACACCACTTTTGGTGTGTAATTCAACTTCTCTTACAGGGTGATATTGAAGTCATAAGTCAATCTCAGTTGTCAGTTACAGCTGGGTTGATAATTTAAACTGACACATCATATTCCCCACAGATTTCACCTGCATCTGTTTCAGCACAAGCCTGACTACTTATACTTATTACTTCCACACCTTTCTAACCTTCACATATTCTACTGAGGGTATTGCCGATGTGACGTTAAATCGTAACTCACTCATTCTTCTGAGGGTATTGATGGGGTGTCAAATTTGCACATCTTCTTCCAATTTTGACTAATAATTGTTTTCTCGTCCAGATGTATTTAATTCTGTTTAAACATATTGTCCATGGACAAGAGGTCACTAGTATGAGTCTTATGCTTGTAATGGGTGCTCCATCTCAAATATACATATTAGGTTGACTACTGTTAGTAAGATTTCTGTCCGATGCAATACATGTACTATGAAATCAGTTTTTCACTTGTCACCTAATATTATTTTCATACAAACTGGAAACAGTTGTCAGGAAACTCACTTTTGACATTTGGATAAAATCAGGTTTTTCCACATTTTCTAGATCTGTAGCTATTTTGAATGACCTATGCAAGTTAAACTGCAACTGACACTTCTAAACAAGATGAGTGTTTGATGCAAAATGAATGAATTTGTAACTGGTGGAATAGAATTGATGATTCCTGTTACATTTCACTGTATTTTAGTTATTAAGTTAGTTCGACCAAATCCTTAGTTAGCAGACTACATGCTACCACTAAGAGTGAGTGAGTGAGTGAGTGAGTGAGTGGAGTGAGTGAGTGAGTGAGTGAGTGAGTGAGTGAGTGAGTGAGTGAGTGAGTGAGTGAGTGAGTGAGTGTAGTTTTATGCCACTTTTACCAATATTCCAGCAGTATCATAGTGGGGGACACCAGAAATGGGCCTCATACATTGTACCCATATGGGGAATCGAACCCGGGTCTTCGGCATGACGAGCGGACACTTTAACAACGAGGCTACCCCACCGCCCCCTATCACTAAGACAGAAATGTATGACTTTTGTGGCACTCACTCACTATTCTTGGTGGCTTGTCAATAGTCAACCTGCTGATAAAGTTGTATTTCTTACAGACGGATCTGAATGTTAAACCTTTATGGTAAACTCTAGAGAGCTGTCATGCATACAAAATTGTTTTGAGGTGAGGTAAGGTGAAATTGGTTTAATGTCGTGCTTGAGAATATTTCATTCATATGACGACGTGCATGCGTGTGTATGTGGATGTGCTGCTGCTTGTACTAGCCCAGACTTAAGCTGGTTTTATAGTGCTAGCCCACTGAAATACCATGCCGCAGTGAAGCATGAATACCCCACTCAGACACATTATACTGACTCCGAGCCGACCAGTCTTTGTTGTACCCATTAATGCCAAGCGCCAGGCAGGGACCAACAAGTACCATATTTTAACGTCTTTTGGTATGATGCGGTCGGGGAAATTGTTTTGAGTCATCGCTTGGATAAGTAAAAGCGATCAGAATTTTTTCCATAGGCAACACATGTACAGCCAACATGCTATTGTCCTGGACATGAGTACTAGTGTTAAATAAGTTGTGACAGTATACTGAACACAGGGGAAGCATTAATAAGCAAGGGGCTAAACAAGTCTTTGTAGTGATGCTTTAATGACTTTGTATATACTGACTTGTGGGATGGGTAAGTGAGTGAGTGAGTGTGGTTTTACGCTGCTTTTAGCAATATTCCAGCAATGTCACATGTGGGGAATTGAACCTTGGCCGTCGGCGTGACGAGTGAACGCTTTAACCACTAGGCTACCCCACCGCCCCTGCACCCTTTAGTGAGAGAGTGAGTGAGTTTAGTTTTACGCCACTTTTAGCAGTTTTCCAGCAATATCACAGTGTGGGACCCAGAAATGGGCTTCACACATTGTACCAATGTGAGGAATTGAACCTGGGCCTTCAGCTTGACGAGAGAATGCTTTAACCACTAGGCTACCTCACCGCCCCTAGTGGGTGATTTGGTATGTGAGGAAATTGTCATTAAGCAAGTTAGTTGATGGATGGGTGACAGAGTGGGTTGGTGCATGGGTGGGTGGTGAACAAGTCTGTAAGAGTTCTTGCTAGCAGTGTTTGTTAGTGAATGATAAAGTGGGTAGTTAGTTCAGTGAGTTAGTTCAGTGAGTGAGTGAGTGAGTTAGATGTTGTGTGAGTGAGTTGGATGTTGTGTGAGTGAGTTGGATGTTGTGTGAGTGAGTGAGTGAGGCTAGCAGTGTTTGTTAGTGAATGATAAAGTGGGTAGTTAGTTCAGTGAGTTAGTTCAGTGAGTAAGTGAGTTGAATGTTGTGTGAGTGAGGTGAATGTTGTGTGAGTGAGTGAGGTGAATGTTGTGTGAGTGAGGCTAGCAGTGTTTGTTAGTGAATGATAAAGTGGGTAGTTAGTTCAGTGAGTGAGTGAGTGAGTTGAATGTTGTGTGAGTGAGGTTGATGTGTGAGTGAGGTGAATGTTGTGTGAGTGAGATGAATGTTGTGTGAGTGAGATGAATGTTGTGTGAGTGAGGTGAATGTTGTGTGAGTGAGGTGAATGTTGTGTGAGTGAGATGAATGTTGTGGGAATGAGGTAGATGTGTGAGTGAGATGAATGTTGTGGGAGTGAGGTGGATGTTGTGGGAGTGAGATGAATGTTGTGTGAATGAGGTAGATGTGTGAGTGAGATGAATGTTGTGGGAGTGAGGTGAATGTTGTGTGAGTGAGATGAATGTTGTGTGAATGAGGTAGATGTGTGAGTGAGATGAATGTTGTGTGAGTGAGATGAATGTTGTGTGAGTGAGATGAATGTTGTGTGAGAGGTGAATGTTGTGCGAGTGAGGTGGATGTTGTGTGAGTGAGATGAATGTTGTGGGAATGAGGTAGATGTGTGAGAAGTAAGATGAATGTTGTGGGAGTGGAGGTAGATGTGTAGATGAATGTGAGTGAGATGAATGTTGTGTGTGAATGTTGTGTGAGTGAGATGAATGTTGTGTGAGTGAGGTGAGATGTTGAATGTTGTGTGTAGAGTGAGGATGAATGTTGTGTGCGAGTGAGGTGGATGAATGTGTGAGTGAGATGAATGTTGTGGGAGTGAGATGGATGTTGTGTGAGTGAGATGAATGTTGTGGGAGTGAGGTGGATGTTGTGTGAGTGAGATGAATGTTGTGGGAATGAGGTAGATGTGTGAGTGAGATGAATGTTGTGGGAGTGAGGTGAATGTTGTGTGAGTGAGATGAATGTTGTGGGAATGAGGTAGATGTGTGAGTGAGATGAATGTTGTGGGAGTGAGGTGGATGTTGTGGGAGTGAGATGAATGTTGTGGGAATGAGGTAGATGTGTGAGTGAGATGAATGTTGTGTGAGTGAGATGAATGTTGTGTGAGTGAGATGAATGTTGTGTGAGTGAGATGAATGTTGTGTGAGTGAGGTGAATGTTGTGCGAGTGAGGTGGATGTTGTGGGAGTGAGGTGAATGTTGTGTGAGTGAGATGAATGTTGTGGGAATGAGGTAGATGTGTGAGTAAGATGAATGTTATGGGAGTGAGGTGGATGTTGTGTGAGTGAGATGAATGTTGTCGGAATGAGGTAGATGTGTGAGTGAGATGAATGTTGTGTGAGTGAGATGAATGTTGTGTGAGTGAGATGAATGTTGTGTGAGTGAGGTGAATGTTGTGCGAAGTGAGGTGGAGTGAGATGAATGTTGTGTGAATGAGAAAGTGAGATGAATGTTGTGTGAGAGGTGAATGTTGTTAGGTGAGGTGGATGTTGTGTGAGTGAGATGAATGTTGTGTGAATGAGGTAGATGTGTGAGTGAGATGAATGTTGTGTGAGTGAGGTGAATGTTGTGCGAGTGAGGTGGATGTTGTGTGAGTGAGATGAATGTTGTGGGAATGAGGTAGATGTGTGAGTGAGATGAATGTTGTGGGAGTGAGGTGGATGTTGTGTGAACAAGTGTAGAAGTGAGCAAAGCTCACATACCCCCGCTTCCCACTTTGGGACATGGAAATGACTGATATTGATATATATAATGTGACAAGGATCAGCAGCTCACAAGACTTTCTCTTTGACTCTACTAAACTTTATATAAATGTTAGATAATAGTTTTGGCATGTACTGATTACGGTAATAATTTATGGAAACTAGATTTTTTGTGTTTTCCGTGGAAACCTGACATGTAATTGAACTTGAGTGTGCCATGTTGCACACAATGGACGTAGATGAAGATTGCTATTTTTTAGCACATGGCATATCTGTGGGTCATGATTAACTTGTGTATTAAGTTTGGTGAACCTAGCATGTATAGTTGCAATGATATGCCGTGGTCAGGTCACCATCAAATACATTTTGCATGTACCTAGCATGAACCTAGCATGTAAACTTTAAGAGATATGCTCTGGACAAAATAATCAAACACATTTGGCACTAAGTCATGTTTCCATGGAAACAGCAAAAATACAATTCATATCTGGATGTAAACCCCAAAAAGGCACATCTAGGGATCATGCTTGATATGTGTACCAAGTTTGATGAAGCTAGCATGTATAGTTTGGAAGATCTGCTCCGACAAGATGACATCCTCATAGTCACAGCTCTAAGTCGTGTTTCCATGGAAACAGCAAAAACTAAATTCTGAAAAAACTTTAAAATAGCAAAAGGCACATCAATGGGTAATGATTAACATGTGTGTGAAGTTTGGTGAACCTAGCATGTAAACTTTAAGAGATGTGCTCTGGACAAAATAATCGAACATATTTGGCACTAAGTCGTGTTTCCATGGAAACAGCAAAAAATACAATTCATATCTGGATCTACCCCCCAAAAGGCACATCTAGGGATCATGCTTGATATGTGTACCAAGTTTGATGGAAGCTAGCATGTATAGTTTGGAAGATCTGCTCCGGACAAGATGACATCCTCATAGTCACAGCCTAAGTCGTGTTTCCATGGAAACAGCAAAAAAACTAAATTCTGAAAAAACTTTAAAATAGCAAAAGGCACTTCAATGGGTAATGATTAACATGTGTGTGAAGTTTGGTGAACCTAGCATGTAAACTTTAAGAGATATGCTCTGGACAAAATAATCAAACACATTTGGCAATAAGTCGTGTTTCCATGGAAACAGCAAAAAATACAATTCATATCTGGATCTACCCCCCAAAAGGCACATCTAGGGATCATGCTTGATATGTGTACCAAGTTTGATGAAGCTAGCATGTATAGTTTGGAAGATCTGCTCCGGACAAGATGACATCCTCATAGTCACAGCCTAAATCATGTTTCCATGGAAACAGCAAAAAAACTAAATTCTGAAAAAAAATTAAAATAGCAAAAGGCACATAAATGGGTAATGATTACTATGTGTGTGAAGTTTGGTGAACCTAGCATGTAAACTTTAAGAGATATGCTCCGGACAAAGTTTCGGGACAGACGGACGGACGGACGGATGGACAGAATGAACGCTATATACCCCCGTTACTTCGTAGCGGGGGTATAATAAGATGAATGTTGTGTGAATGAGGTAGATGTTGTGTGAGTGAAGTGTTTCTTCTCTGAAAGGCAGGTGAATGTTGTCTTAAGTGAGATGAATGTCATGCGAGGAGATGTTAGCGAGGTTAGAAGGGCTGCAAGCACGCCACATGTGGAGGATGACGTACCCCCGCCAGATCCTTGTCTGGTTCAGGAGGCGGAGCTACAGCATCGTTAGCGTTCAGTATGGGGATGATGTTCAGCTTCAGCAGCTCGTTCAGTGTACTCCGGAGGTTCTTGCGACTCTCATCGTTGTAGAAGTCGGGCTTGGTCACCAGGACCTGTGCTGTGCGGACTCCATACTGCATAAACATGGCTTCATATAGCGACATGAGACCACTCTGTCCAGCGGCCGCACACGCTCTTGGCTCCAGGATGGGCTGACCCTGGCAACAACAGCATTGTAACAATCTTTTGAACATCATTTTCTGAGTTATTAAGAATATAAAATCAGGAATTCTGAGTAAAACTGTGAAGCAGATTTATGTAAAAATCCATATAATTTTTCATGTCTATAACTATATATATAAACATACTAAAGATAATTCTGGAAAAGATAAATATGTTAACAACAGAAACTCACATGAACTCACAAAAAAAGCACATACAACAACAGGAAATCAGTGACATCATGCTATTATCAGCCAGTGAGGAAACAACAATTCGATCAGCGCGCAATAGTTCAATCCTTTTCACTCCATGTAAGAGTTATTGCCCTTTATCACCCATTATGAACCATGTCAATTCAAAACTTTCATAATTTGGGCTGATGACAACAACAACAACAACTACTACTTCAGACGTATAACAGCAACAAATTCAAACATATAATACCAACAAATTCAGACACATAACAACACCAACTTCAGACATATTTATTAGCAACATTAACATCATTCAAACAGCAATGGAAATGTGATGTGATTACCTATTGGCAGATCACAACAATTGAAGATTATCACAAGTGATAGCATAACAATAGGTTCCTCACAGGTTGCCTTTTCTCCTTTGGTGAAGGATCTTGGCGTATGGCTAGAGTCGGATCTCGCCATGGATGTACATATCGACAGACTGTGTAAAACCTGCTATTTTCATTTGTGCAGGGTTGGGAACATCTGGAAGTACATCACAGAAGAAAGCGCGAAGATTCTAGTCAGATATCTAATTTCCTCCAGATTAGATTATTGCAACGGGCTGCTTGTAGGTCTTAACAGGGCTCAGCATAAAAGACTGCAGAAAGTACAGAATACAGCAGCCCGCATCATTTTGTTACAGTCAAAATCATGTCGCATTACTCCAGTCCTCAAATCACTTCATTGGCTCCCAATTGAATCACGTATCAACTTTAAAGTTCTCTGTACTGTCTACAAATGCCTCCACAACCAAGCCCCTCCTACCTCACTGACTTGATCGCTGTATACACACCAGTCAGAACTCTTCGATCTGAGAACCAGATCCTACTTACTGTACCAACTTTAGACTTTCCTCATTTGGTAAATGATCGTTCTTTCATGCAGCCCCAAGACTATGGAATTCATTGCCAGTCCACATCAAAGACTCTGATTCTCTGACAGCTTTCAAATCACGACTTAAGACTTACCTTTTCTCCTCTGTATATATACCTGACTCTCTCCCTCTTCCCCCTGCACTTTGAGCATGCACAAGTGTGTGGATTATAGCGCATAACAAATGTCCATTATTATTATTATTTAAATGTCGCCCACACCGACTCACTCGAATGTTTTCCCGCTTGACGAGGGTTTCCCTCATGCTCATCGACATGATGATCTCCTGCTGCAGTTTCTGCTTGCCGAACGCAACGGCGCCGCTTGTCACCATCAGCATTTGTCTCCCTTGGTTCTGTAGCTCAGAAACCTGGAACAAGGTCAAAAATTGTTTTCCAAGATCCAAGAGTTGAAATTTACACGAGTCTGCTAGCTTAAGACAACTAAATTGCACTAAGGACAAGTGAATAGTCAATGATGGTACATATTGACTAGAAAGAATTCTGAACCTATTGTCAATGCTTCTTTGAGCAAAATACTGAATTAGGGCTGGGACGATACACTATGTCATGATACGATACATATCACGATATTTTACCTGCGACACGATACGTATCACGATACATACACCTTGAAAGAATGACACAGTACTAAGATTTAAAATGAATGGCCAGTAGTGGCTGAATATTACTGAACAGACAAATAGTTTAACGTGAGTTGTAAACTTTTAAAACTTGCATATTTTTCTCTAAATAAGTACTTTAACATGTTTAAGATAGTACTGTTTTGAAAAAAAGTTGTGTATCGTTTTGTATCAATACACCAGTCGACGATACGATAGCTGTATCAAACTGAAATGTATCGCGATGTATCGGTGCATTGGTCAATTGTCCTAGTCCTATACTGAATACTAGTGAAATAGGTTTACGAATTCTCTGGTCTTGTCTTGAAAAATTTATGGGGGCAGTCGGGTAGCCTAGTGGTTAAAGCATTTGCTCATCATGCTGAAGACCCAGGTTTGATTCCCCACATGGGTACAATGTGTGAAGCCCATTTCTGGTGTCGCCCCGCCGTGATATTGCTGGAATATTGCTAAAAGCGGAGTAAAACTAAACTCACTCACTCACAATTTCTTTGGCTTAGGCAGTTAAAATAAGCCCTTTGGCAACTTACTGAGGTACAAAATTCATAATCACACCTTTGAATATTATATTTGGTTGACATATTGTATGCACAGCACCAATCGTGTAATTTGTGGTTATTCTACTAAGAAATGTCAGCTTGACTGACATGTGATGTGTGGTGTATATTTCAACCCTAATTGGCCTATCAGCTATTCTTGTCATAACATATCTGATTTGTAAAATTTAAGTATATTTGTACGAAAAGAAATAATATATTCAATCCCAACCATTCTAAGGACAATTTCATAATTCCAAAGTCAATGAAGAAAGTCTTTTCAAAGTAGTGCTTAAAATGAGAAAAAAGTATATCTGGTCCATTTAGAGGTACATGGTCATGTGAAACAAGACATTTACTAAAAATGAACATGAAAGCTGCAGTTAGATTTAATTAAGAATTACATTGTATAGTTACTTAGATATGGTTACTTTCTTCCAACTATCTGTGTGAGCCTATAAGAATGGTATCAAGTGGCCAAGCGTTATCTATTCCAAGGCAGTGATAAGAAGTCTACAGTGACTTTACATGGAGCTGTTAGAACCATTGAGTGCATGTAGGTCCCTGCCTTGGGATCATGGCACTATCAGGCGGTCAGGAAGTGACCTGGACGTGACTCTCTTGTGACCTATCTTTGCTCACATACAATCATTGGTTTGAATGTCCTGAAAATAAGCTCAACAGGCAGCTACACATAGATCCAGTGGTCTAGAATTATTTTGAAGCCATTGAATATTTACTCACATGAAATGTAAATATATTTTTCTTTGGGTGTCACATTGGGTAATTATGGATACTGATATGCTATTGGGTTTGGAGAATGTTTTGTGCCTATTTGTTTGTTTTGTTTATATTTTGTTTGTTGTTTAACAAACTCAGCGATTTTCAAGCTATATGACAGGCATCGGTATTTAATTAAGTCTGGACCAGGCCATGCATATATATAGTGGGGCCTTGATACGATAAGTATCCTGATAAAAAGGGTGTGATATATGATTTGTATCCCTTGTTGTTGCTTGTTGCTTAACGCCGCGCTCAGCAATATTCCAGACATATGGCAGCAGTCTGTAAATAATTAAGTCTGGACCAGGCAATCCATATATATATTGGGGCCTTGATACGATAAATATCCTGATAATAAGGGTGTGATATATGATTTGTATCCCTGGCTGGTTGGCTTGTTGCTTAACACCGCACTCAGCAATATTCCAGCCACACGGCAGCGGTCTGTAAATAATCAAGTCTGGACCAGGCAATCCATATATATATTGGGGCCTTGATACGATAAGTATCCTGATAATAAGGGTGTGATATATGATTTGTATCCCTGGCTGGTTGGCTTGTTGCTTAACGCCACACTCAGCAATATTCCAGACATATGGCAGCAGTCTGTAAATAATCAAGTCTGGACCAGACAATCCAGTGACTGACATCATGATCATCTTTCTACGCAATTGGGATAGTCAGTGAGCCTGACCACCCGATCCCGTTAGTTGCCTCTTCCAACAAGCATGGGTTACTGAAGACCAATTCTAACCCGGACCATCACAAGTCCCTAACTGTATGTATGCAACTAAAATTATTTGGTAATGGTGAATGGAAGACAGATGTCTCTTTAATCTACATGAGACATCTTCCACAGACTGCAAATCCGTAAACATGCTGTCCATACCAGATGTGTATTCACACTGTCTGAACCTTGGACGGTCTTTCTGGGTTGCCAGGTGGCTTTTATCTCAAGTATATTCCAATCTACATGCTGACATGTACGAAATCTCTCACCATCGTTATGGCCAGCCGTGTCAACAAAGTTCTATGACAATGTCCATGACATATTTGGGATAACACTTTGTCTGTAATGGACATATTCTAGTACTTTTTGAGGTTGAGACTCATTTGGGGTTCGACCCGTGAAGATCTGGGTTAGAATTGATCTTCAGTAACCCATGCTTGTCATAAGAGGCGACTAATAGGTTTGGGTGGTCAGCCTTGCTGACTTGGTTGAACATGTAAATTGCGTACATTGATGCTCATGCTGTTGATCACAGGATTGTCTGTTCCAGACTCTATTATTTACTGACCGCCGCCATATAGCTGGAATATTGCTAAGTGCAGCATCAAACTAAACTCGTCCACTCATCTGGGGTTCGAACCCACGCTCCAAGAGTTATGCACCTTATCGCCAGCACACAGCGTCAGTGATCTAAACCAATTAGCCAGTGCGGCTTCCACAAAATGGAAGTCTGACAACAGGTAGATCACATACTTTGTGTGCCCCTCTGGTTGAGTAGGATAGAAGGCTAAACCTAAACTATTAACTAGGGCATGAACTCCTTTGATTTGTTTATCAGAGATTTTGTTGATCTTTTTAGCATTGTGACCTAATGTGGACTTTGGGATTATTGTGTTCTCTGAAGACTTTGATCTTAAGACAGGTGGCCAAAGGATTTCTAAGGGAGAATTCAAAACATTTATGTGAATTAGGTGGTCAGCTGCAAATCAAGTGTGTTTGAATTTTGAACATAGACTGACTGACTGACTGACTGACTGACTGAGTTTGGTTTTACGCCGCTTTTAGCAATATTCCAGCAACATCACGGCGGGGGACACCAGAAATGAGCTTCACACATTGTGCCCATGTGGGGATTCAAACCCGGGTCTTCAGCGTGACGAGCCAATGCTTTAACCACTAGGCTACCCCACTGCCCCTTTGAACATAGAAGCCACAGTAGCTCATCCCAGATATAACACGTGGCATTTGATCCCTTCATAAACAGTGAGTGAGTTAGGATGGTTTTACGCCGCTTTTAGCAATATTCCAGCAATATCACGGCGGGGGACACCAGAAGCTTCACACATTGAACCCATGTGGGGAATTGAACCCAGGTCTTTGGCATGACAAGTGAATGCTTTAACCAGTAGGCTACCCCACTGCCCCCAAATCACCAGAACGCTGGGTCACGTTAACTGAAACACATTTTTATGTTTGACCTATCACCTGTTCCACGATGGAGGCCAGTCTTCCCAGCGCTATTCCGCACTCATCCTCGCGTGTTATCACTGCACTGCCAAGCTTCACCACAATTGTCTTCGCTTTAGGCAACTCTGATCGCTGGCCGGCATTGAGTCTATGCACTGAACTGACAGACAAACATCTGACCAGCTGACCATTGGTGTAGGTCAGTCTTGACCGATGTCCACACAAAACACAATATGTCTGCTGCCGACACAGGGATTGGGTTGTCCTAACAACTTGAAACATGGTGCAGATCTGGAAAAGGAAGAAAACCATTGGTAAATTCATACATGTGCTAAGGAAATACAAAGAATCAAATGAACAACTTGCAATGAATATAAATTAGTTTTACGAGGGAACAATATTGTAATATTCATGTGTAGCATACATTTACAATGCAATACATATCATAAGCGTTAACACCAACATTTTGTATCCAATCTTGACAGGAGAAATCTGTGAGAGAGTGTCCATCCAGACAAGGAATCACTTTTAAAGGGGTTGAGAGAGTGTCTGGGTGGAAGAATATAACACTTTATTACCCACGTGGTCAACGTATGGGTAGTTGCATATTAATCTCGTACGTCACACGAGTGTCGTATCGCGTTGACCTGTGTCGTAACGACTTGACCTGAGATTCTAACGATTTGATTCGATAACCGATGACCTCTCAGTTAGGTCACATTCTGACGTAACTATTTTTTCATTCATAACAAACACGTGAATTCATTCTACAACTTAAATGCATTGTGGGAATGTAAACATTGCGAACGTTGCCGTGTCGCTGTTTAATTGTGAGTCGAACTGAGACATTATATCTGTCGAAAAACATAAACGCAATGTTTCCACCAGTGATGTTAGCCGAATGAAGCAACTGGAAACCAAGAAACGAGGTGCAACGGAGTAGTTTACTGTAGGAGGTTGCACGAGGCGATGACAACTGACATGCATCGTGATCGCCGGTTACCATGGCAGTGACGCCATTAGTGTGACGCCATGCAAATATTGTACTACAGTACAAAACTCTTCCGCAACCTCTTTATGAAACCGGTTTCGGTTTGAAACCAAAACATAACAAAAATACGCTTATTTTGTCAATTTAAATGCATGTAAGACGGGTAATAAATAATATACCACTCGTTCATATTATACGAATTATACGAACTGTGATCTTCCTATGTTATCTGACCTCCTCGCCGCCAGTCAGATACCATAGGAAGGACACTCGCTTCATATAATTCGTATGTAATGAGACCTCGTGTAGTATTCTCTATATCTCATCCCTCAAAGGGTAAAAAAGAGTCCGTGGGAGAGATTTGATATCCCCAGTTGACCACACAATACCCAAAATGTTTAACCCTGCAAAACCTAATCTTTGAGGGGTTGACACAATGTCTACCCAGACAATCCAACTCAGTATTTCACATAAACAGAAACATCAATGCATAGGTGTGTGGCTGCTTATGTTTGAGTAATGCTGCGTTGGTGCTATCCAACTGATACACTTTGGTACAGTTTAACGGGATCGGGTGGTCAGGCTCGCTGACTTGGTTGACACACGTCATCGGTTCCCAATTGTGCAGATAGATGCTCATGCTGTTGATCACTGGATTGTCTGGTCCAGACTCGATTATTTACAGACCGCCGCCATACAGGTGGACTGAGTTTGGTTTTACGCCGCTTTTAGCAATATTCCAGCAACATCACGGCGGGGGACACCAGAAATGGACTTCAAACATTGTGCCCATGTGGGGATTCGAACCCGGGTCTTTGGCGTGACGAGCCAACGCTTTAACCATTACGCTACCCCACCGCCCCCCATACAGGTGGAATATTGCTGAGTGTGGCATAAAACTAAACTCACTCACTCACTCAAATACACGACTCAATGTAAATCCCCTCAACAAGTACCATATTTATTGTTTCTGGATAGAACCACCCACCGCCTGCTTTCCCAACAACATTCAAAGTCACATAATCCTTTATAATAAAACCATAATAATTCAACATCAAGCATATCAATAATTTATTCCTGTACAAAAAACGTAACTAAGAAAAATAATCATAATTCAAAAATGTTTAATTACTATGCACTGTATTCTCTTTGTAGAAGTAGGATGAGGCAACTCATGTTTGTAAGCATCAGTTGTGCATATCTGTTCATACTGAAATAATCACTAGTTCTCACAAACAAAAATGAATATAAATTGAGAAAAAAAATTAAGCGCTCTTACAGAACATGCTGAAAAGAATAGTCAGCTAATCAACAACAGTATTTCCTAACAGTGTTTGTTTTTCAAGAATTATTTTATGCATTAATATTTGATATAGTTATAAAGACTGATACGGATTGTGTCATCTGAAAACAGCGTTAGGTTAACACTATCCATTAAAGGTAGATTCATCCACAGACATAATGAAACTTTGTTTCTTTTGCTTTCTAGTTGTGTTTAATGACATACTGGGCAATATTCCAACAGTCTCATGGCAGCCTGTATGTAATCAAATCTGGACCAGAAATGGGCTTCACACATTGTACCCATGTGGGGAATTGAACCTGGGTCTTCGGCGTGATGAGCTGAACACTTTACCACTTGGCTACCCCATTGCCACCTAAATCTGGACCAGACAAACCCATCAACAACAATAACACTGCGCCGACCACCCAACTTGCTCTTAACAATATGCACCAAATATCAAATGTAGCCTCCCCTTATGGGTGTCCGGGATCTATCAAGAACGTTTAAACAAGTGCCTCCAGATTGAAAAAGGCATGATATTGTTCAAAATTTGATTTGTTTTAATGTTCTGTTCTGGTTTGTCTTTTTTAGTTCAAATCACAAATGTTTGTATTCTTATATGTTATAAGAAGGAAACATGGAAGCAAACAAGGATAACAATAAATTTATCATACACTGTGATTCTTTATTCTATCGAGACGTAAGATATACTGCTGTTCAGGAGAGAAACCTTTGAACCTTGTAGGCATGTAAGCTTGAGTACATTGCCCAATGATATAGAGCCACATGACTTGCTCTAACTTTCACAAATGGAATTCACAGACAGGGAAACAGTATGTTATCATTTGCAGAATGTAATAAAATAGTTTTTGAGCATAAGTAACACCAACATTTAATGACCTACGAAGCTGAAAGCTGAGAAAAAGACGCAAAATATTTTTTGCCTCAAACAGAGATTCCAAGTTCTAAAAATCTGAAAAATATACATGTATCTTTGACCACATACTCTTTGTGGTGATCTGATACATGACTGTATGAGCTTACACGTATCACTATGATCTGGCTCATATGAAAGTGTGGATAGTTAGATTAAGTCTTATTTGTAGTCCACTTGGCAGTAAATCATTTTTAATGTCAACTTTTACCGTTGGTTCAAGACAATTGTGTATAGGTAGTCAGTCCAGGGATTTACGGGACATGAATTCCTGCGTCGTCCTATACGCATAAAAATTGACTATGGACGCAACAAGATTTATTAGTGCGTCCACAGGGACTCAGAAAAAGTCTAAATACTTTTTGTAAAAATTCCAATCAAGTGACAATAAGTTATCACTGAGTTTGCTACTAGCTGGGTTATGGTATTATTTGCAATTCAATTACTGTAACAATGTGATACACAATACAATAACAGTATTAATAATAATATTTAAGTGTCTGGGACCCCCATTTTGTTGTCCAGTGCCCTGTTCCTCAAAGCGATCGTAACCCTAAGACGATCGTAACTCCCATACTTTAACATAGACTTACGACAGTCGTAGCGCTACGATCGCTTTGAGGAACGAGGGCCAGGAACCTATACCGAAACGTCGCTATTGTTAAAATAAAGAAGTTGCTCATCCATAAAGTTGTGTCATTGCTATACCAGCAACTTCTAGAATGCCACTCAAACAAATCATGCTTTAAAGGTCACATGCAACGTAAAACACAACTTTCCAGATTCTGATACCTTTCGGTATGGACTTACCGAAACAAATCGTCAAAAATGCAAATTCAACTTATAAAGTTGAAAAATAACGCGATGAAGAAAAAACGCGCGAAATCGGAGTTCAAACGTTTCACTAATTTTCCCCAGACTTTTCTGGGGATAACAGGTTTCAACAGCTGGGCTGCGCTCATAGCATGTGCGCAGTGAAATAGGTTCGCGCAACTTGGAAGCGGGTTGTCCGGTGAATACTCGGTGAAGGCTTTGGTGTGAACTATTTTTCTAATGTTTTGTTGATATCTCACAGGCGCGAGCTTTTTATATGTTATGACAGTAAATTAACTGTTTATATAATTTCACCACACGTTCTTCTTACCGAGTCACTTTCTCAGTTCGATACTTAAAAGCAATGTCATTATTTAGCGTTGACAGAATTTCTAACTGTGATATAGATATGTCGTTGTCACAGACAAAACTCAATGTCTTCTGTGTGTCTGCCTGCCTGTCTGCTAATGACAATATTCAATACACATCTGCTATCACTGACCACATGCAATTTGAACTTAACACCAATCAGGCTATACACCATAAACAAAATGCATTGATTTATGGCCAGAGTTCGGTCTCTGTCACATTATGTAATTACACAGACAGGCAGGTGTGATACTTGAACACATGACATGTTATGATGTCTGTTGATTGCAAAATGTTATACACAAAAAATGAGCATGTATTTACAAAACCCAACATCTCTACATATACACACACAATAAGCCGTGAGGGCATACGCAAATGAACCAGCCGTTACACTTGAGTGCACACCCACCCGCTCTGACTGGGTCCGGTATCCGGTACACAATATTGCACTTTTGATTTGCGATTGTACGCTTATAATTTTGTTTATATGTTTTTTCATAACCAGCAATGTATATTATATGTCACAACCATTTTTTGGTTGCATGTGACCTTTAACATAAGTAAGGGTGCCAACATCCTCTAGGTATCAACATAATCTAGGTATCAGGCATACCACTTAATTTGTCCTGGTATCATGTGTACGAACCTATATGAGCCATATCAGTATCTTGTACATGCCTGGTACAAGTAAATCCGACTGGAACTTTCACATAGAATAGAGAACCATGCATGTTCAAAAGCTTTGGGTCTGATAATTATTTGAATCGTTCCTTGATCTTTACTAGAAATATTAAAAATAGTTTGTGGGGTGTAAAAAATAGATTTTGTATCATATGAGTTTTTAAATTCATTATATTTCCATTAAATGAATCGGGGTAAGTATTATTTATGTAACTTTAGTTGTGCCACCAGGGCACAGAAAATATTTCATCCATGCCATTTTAATATTTACCGTGCCATGGCCTGCAAATTAAGGACTATTTTGATCCCCGTACATAAAGTAAACTATGGTCATAATGAGCTCAAAGGACTACTAACTATGGTCGGTTATACCTGCAGTTAGTTATCTGCATTTCGTCTAAAATATACCGCAAGTGGTCAGGACCACTAAAGCAATATCCATCAGATCGTTGTGTGTTCGTAATAAATGTAGTTTACTGTATCTCATGAGTGTAGTTTTACGCCACACTCAGCAATATGGCAGCGGTCTGTAAATAATCAAATCTGGACCAGACAATCCAGTGATCAACAGCATGAGCATCCATCTACGCAATTGGGATATGATGACATGTGTCAACCAAGTCAGCGAGCCTGACCACCTGATCCCATTAGTTGCCTCTTACAACAAACATGGGTTACTGAAGATCAATTCTAACCTGGATCTTCACGGGTGTTTACTGTATCTAAATATTCATTATTAATGTATGACTTTCATAGTCACAATATAGCCGAAATACTGAAAAGTAAAGGTATTTTAACTCACTTATTCACTTCATAAAATAATATCAAGTCAAAAGTATATCTAAATGTTGAAATATTGGCATCTAATAATGTTCAATGGCATCCAGATTACCTGTATACACAGGGCTCGGCATCCTCTACACCTAAAGGGGGTTGGCACCCTCATGATTAGATTACAGAGAACACTAGTTACAAATTGTATCATTATATCATATTGGAAGATTGACAGAAAGCCAATACTGATTCCGATCTGACCAGCCATCCTGAAAATTGCCAAACAAGGCATCAATCCCATCCAAACCAGATCTGCTTTCTCTAGTCAGAGGGATGCTAGCATGTGATGATTCCTACAGCTCACCATAGATATGTTTTATAAGTGAATGGATAATCTTTTGAATGTGAATAAGTTAATTTAATATTATATATTTCATTCTTCATCAGTAATTGAGTGAGTGAGTTGGTTTTAAACAGTTTTGAATGTGAATAAGTTAATTTAATATTATATATTTCTTTCTTCATCAGTAAGTGAGTGAGTGAGTGAGTTGGTTTTAAACAATTTTGAATGTGAATAAGTTAATTTAATATTATATATTTCATTCTTCATCAGTAAGTGAGTGAGTGAGTTGGTTTTAAACAGTTTTGAACATTTCATTCATATCATGGCATGGCTCCTTGTTTGTTGTTTCAGGCCACAGTCAGCAATATTCCAGCTATATGACATTGGCCTGTTAATAATGAAAATAATTGAGTCAGGACCTGACAATCCAGTGATTAATATCATAAGCATATCTATCCACACAATTGGAAAATGAAGTCAGCAAGCCTCACTACTGTATTCTGTTAGTCATCTCTACAACAAACATGTTGTACCTGTATGAGGACCTGTATTCTTACTCACAGGGGTTGGGTAGCCTGGTGGTTAAAGCGTTTGCTTGTCACCCTGAAGACCTGGGTTCAATCCCCCACATGGGTACATTGTGTGAAGCCCATTTCTGGTCACCCCTGCCATGATATTGCTGGAATATTGCTAAAAGCGGAGTAAAACTAAACTCTCAAAATCATAAAATGGTTATATCAGATATAATGATGAATGTGTTTCTGACAAGATATCATGATATATGTTGGCAATTTTGGGTGAAATACTGTTAAATCATTAATTCTGATGTCAGTGACATTATCGTAAGGATATCAAACACTTTATCTTCATATCAATTTCCATTTACAGCTGTTAATTTACGGTGCTATCATAATTTATGTTTTTGTATCTGTAACTGATATCAGATATAATGCATGCATTAATCAAATCCAACAGTTTGTTATTATGAAGGAAAGTGATTTGTCTTCAACTTGACTGTTATTTTAGACTAAGAATATGTACCCAATACGACCTATGAAAGTCTATAACAGTAGGTAATTCTACACATTACAGCTGTTTCTGAAAAGTCTTTGTGTGATTTTTACACTGTTACTAAGTATTGTTTATGCATCTGTTGTTGATATCAGTGTAGAGCTGTGTAAGATTGTTCATATTAGCAGAGCTGTGTAACATTGTTTACACTAGCAATAACATACAGGGTAACATTGTTCATATTAGCACAGAGCTGTGGAACATTGTTCATATTAGCACAGAGCTGTGTAACATTGTTCACAGGGTTTAACATTGTTCATATTAGCAAGCTGTGCAACATGTTCATATTAACACAGAGCTGTGTAACATTGTTCACAGGGTTTAACATTGTTCATATTAGCACAGTGCTGTAACATTATTCATATTAGCACAGAGCTGTGTAACATTGTTCACAGGATTTAACATTGTTCATATTAACACAGAGCTGTGGAACATTGTTCATTTAACACAACATTATTGGTGTAACATTATTCATATTAGCACAGAGCTGTGTAACATTGTTCACAGGGTTTAACATTGTTCATATTAGCACAGAGCTGTGGAACATTATTCATATTAACACAGAGCTGTGTAACATTGTTCACAGGGTTTAACATTGTTCATTGTTAGCATATTTCAGCACAGAGCTGTGCAACATTATTCATATTAACACAGAGCTGTGTAACATTGTTCACAGGGTTTAACATTGTTCATATTAGCACAGAGCTGTGTAACATTATTCATATTAACACAGAGCTGTGTAACATTGTTCACAGGATTTAACATTGTTCATATTAGCACAGAGCTGTGTAACATTATTCATATTAACACAGAGCTGTGTAACATTGTTCACAGGGTTTAACATTGTTCATATTAGCACAGAGCTGTGGAACATTATTCATATTAACACAGAGCTGTGTATCATTGTTCACAGGGTTTAACATTGTTCATATTAGCACAGAGCTGTGGAACATTATTCATATTAACACAGAGCTGTGTAACATTGTTCACAGGGTTTAACATTGTTCATATTAGCACAGAGCTGTGTAACATTATTCATATTAACACAGAGCTGTGTAACATTGTTCACAACATTGTTCATATTAGCACAGGTGTAACATTATTCATTTAACACAGGGTTTGTAACATTGTTCACAGGGTTTAACATTGTTTATATTAGCAATGAGGGGCAACATTGTTTACATTAGCACAGCTGTGTGGCAATGTTCATATCATTTTACAAAGCTGTGTAACTTTGTTCATATCATTGCAAAGCTGTGTAACATTGTTACTAAAAAAAGAGACAGTAACTCTAATCTGAAGTTGTTGCAATCCCTACAAATCAACCACACAGAAACGTGAGTGAGTTTAGTTTTACCCCGCACTCAGCAATGTTCCAGCTATATGGCGTCGGTCTGTAAATAATTGAGTCTGGACCAGACAATCCAGTGATCAACAACATGAGCATCGATCTGCGCAATTGGGAACCGATGACATGTGTCAACCAAGCCAGCGAGCCTGACCACCCGATCCGTTAGTCGCCCTCTTACGACAAGCATGGGTTACTGACCCAGAGGTTCATGGGTTTTGAATTTACATAATATATGTAATATTTTTAATCAATTTCAACTATAGCAGCTATTGATCGTTATGCATATTGAGGATACTACTGGCATTTATAAATCCCATCATCCCCTAGGGCAATCAACTTTTATATTTGATAGCTTCGTTCCACTCTAGTTTGCGGACATGATGCAATATTATATCATGCATACACACTAAATACAAATGAGCTGTCACTTTTGTACAAGTATTTCTTTGTATATAATTTTTACAAGCTAAAAGAATTCATGAAAGATCTGCACTAGTTTTCATAAAGGTTGTAGAAGAATATAGATTTCACTATACCAGAGACCATATAATAGATGGTCTCTGATTATACGTAATGTGGCCTTCATCACTTGGATTAGAAAACTTGACATAAAGGTTCACTATGTAGGGTTCAATTACAAAGTGTTTACATTAATCATAACAAGATACAAATAGCATTAGTCTGTTGCCTATGTAACTGTGAAGATTCCAGCTCATATGAATAGAAACATGGATTCTTACCTCTATCCGACTCACAGCGTCATCAGACAAGAATCTGTGTTGTCCAAGTATTCCTGGAGAGTTGCATCATAATGTCCACGTGTTGAGAAGTGTAACCAAGTACATTCTTTGTGAACCACACAATCAATCGCTGGATTCTCAAGCGACGACTTTAAACAGATGGTTATCCGTATAATGTATGTTGAAAATCTGCTGTCGTGCAAGTCTCGCCCACTGGACAGTCAGAGCGTTGTCATATCACATAAACACTTCTTTGTTGATATAGCATTGGTACTGAAGGACCCTAAAAAATGTCGGAGGTCTGGGTTCGCGACTAAAATAGCACAGCTCTTGTTATGCGTTTTTACCACACACACAGCTTCTTTGGATAATCGTGTGCTACAGTGATCTAGTCCTGTTAGTGGAGCCTGTGGCGCTGTCTTACAAAACCGTACACACCACTACAGCCCGCCGATACAGCTCGTTGTTTCAGCTCCGAGTTCCAGGGTCGCGAGGTGACATTTAACCTATAACCTCTGACCTCTTTACAGCTGAGCAGCCGATGACAGTATTTGGCGACTTTTTGCAAGAATAAGCACGTGTTTGGCGAATGGACACATGCTGGTTCAAAGTCCAGGCTCATATGACCTGACCATGTTTAAATTGCACGACAGTTTGGTCGTAAATCTGTATAAATCAATATCAAAAGAGGTTTGTACACATAACGCTCTATAATTAAGTTTCCATATCATGTAATCAAGCGGTGGATCGGCTTATATTTTACCCCCTCTAACTTGTGTAACTGTTATGATATATTGTCTGGCTCACAGTCCATGAACCATATTATTTCCCTTCCACCTATCACTGTCTGTTTTTTACATTTTACATAAAAAACTCAAAAGGTTGTCCTGTGTTGGTAATTTCTACATGTAAGTACTAGTGTTGGGATTTGGTTAAAATCTCATAATTGATGATTGGTTCATTACCACCGATCAATCATCGAAAATAATTGGTTAGCGTCATTTATGAAATTTGTTAATGCACAAAAAATAAGGAAAAAAACATGTAGTTATTGTTGGGGTTTTTGGCAAAATTTCACATCTTTAAAGGATGACTAGTATGTTAGGAACATAAATTTCTTGGTGTCTTTAAGATAAATTCAATCATGAGCTTGTAGTGCTTATGAAATGTAACAGACAAAACCAATCTTGTGAAAAATATTGTTGATGAAAACAAGTGTTCCAGAATTGTTTGTGTTCGATTATGAGAAAACATGATCGATTGCTTGATTGTTTAGTCACTGCGACCAATCTTCGATTATTTCAATTAATCGGATCACCACTAGTTAGTACATAAACTGAAGTTCAAAAGAAAGTACACTCCTGATTTCTTTGGTAAAATATTTTCTTTAAAACAGGATTAATATTTAAAAAGTGTTTTGATTCTGCCTTGTCACAAACATTGTGCAAGTGTTTCCACAACACCTTAGATAGTGTACCCAATTACAACATTGCTAGCAAAATATTTATGGTTTTAATGGGATTAGTCCCAAAACACCAGGTGTGTACTTTCTTATGTACGCCAGTATACTTATACTATTCCATCCAAATAAACAAGTTTCTGAGATCTGTTACCTGTTACCTACTCGAACCTTTATATCTGGACCCCGTGCTATTCTCGAAACGTCGTATAAGAGGCGACTATGATGAGACTGACTGCCAGAGTATGGTTTACTTTTTAGCAATATTCCATCCAACAAACGGCGGGGACACCAGAGAATCTGTTACTTCATTCATTGTACCCACTCGAACCTTCATATCTGGACCCCGTGCTTGTCGTATAAGAGGCGACTAACGGGATCGGGTGGTCAGGCTCGCGAACTTGGTTGACACATCCAAATTGCGTAGATCGATGCTCACGCTGTTGATCACTTGTTTGTCTGGTCCAGATTTGATCATTTACAGACCATATAGCCTAAATATTGCTGAGTGCGGCATTAAACAACAGCCAATCAACCAATCACATCTGGACGTCAGTGTCGATTTAAACACTACCTGAAATATGTATCCATTTCACTGGATACTTTGGGGAAACATTCAAATACTTGTAGTCAGTTGTGCAAATTGGATTGTTTTTCGTCTCACAATTTCCAAATAATTCATCTGCGACAACGACACAGACAGCTGTTAAATGGCGAGGAATATGTTGTCTGCAATGCGTCTCGTATGGGACAGATGATATTTCGTGTAAGATCACCACGGCGTTTTATCAACGAAATATTATTACCTTGCATAATCTAATTAAGGTAAGAATTACATATCAAACGAAATTATTCGCCGAAAGGATACCAGTGTTCATGTAAATATCCCATAACGCAAGAACCCGGTTTCCCTATGTTATTATTACTTGATGACGTTTTACTTGCTGTCCCCTATAGACGATTCGTATTTTGTTTGTTTCTTGTTGAACGCCGCTCTCGACAATATTCCAGCCATATGGCTGCGGTATGTAAATAATCGAATCTGAACCAGACAATCCAGTGATCAACATAATGAGCATCTTATTCTGTTGCAGAACGTGTGGACGCGTCGATTGGACACGCTGATTTAGAGTGCATAAAGCACAATAGACATGACCGGATGTACAATATGAACATAAGACCCCTGAAGATCCGGGTTAAAATTGGTCTTCAGCAACCCATACTTGTAAGAGGCGTCTAACGGGATCGAGTGGAGAGGCTCGCTGTCTTGTTTGACACATGTCATCGTTTACCAATTAGGTAGGTGGATGCTCATGACGTCAATCACGAGATTGTCTGGTTCAGACTCAGTTATATATTTTAATATTGCTGATTTGCAGCGTTAAACAACAAACAAATATACAAACACTTCTCAGACCTTATGGAGTGAGTGAGTGAGTTTGGTTTTACGCCGCTTTTAGCAATATTCCAGCAATATCACGGCGGGGGACACCAGAAATGGGCTTAACACATTGTACCCATGTGGAGAATCGAACCCGGGTCTTCGGCGTGACGAGCGAAGGCGCCTTAACCACTAGGCTACCCCACCGCCCCTCAGACCTTATGAAAATGTGCACCAGAAAACAACCAGGCACACAGGGGGTTAAGTATGCTACGAGTACACACGCACGCATACACTTTGATATCGCCCGGTAGATATTGTCCGACACGTATTGGTAAACGTATTTTCTAATTTCCAAGCTACAAATGTAATATCTAGGGCTGGGACGAGTCAAAATTTTCTACCCGGGTACCCCGCCCCCTATTACCCTACCTGACCCGGATGCCCGTTATGTTAATTCTTGACATCAAATTTGCGAGAAATGGCAATATATGCTTCGGCTCGGAGGCTAAAATTCAAAAGAAATGACTGTAAATTATGTCTAAATCTTCAAAGACAATACAACCGTTTAATCATGAAAGAATAACACATTACATTGTTTAATCTATTAATCACATGATCATAATGGGCCCGGGTATAGAGACGGGTACCCGGGTCCAACTCATCACCCACCCATCCCGCGTATCCGGGTTACCCGTCCCAGCCCTAGTAATATCAGTATTTGCAAAAAACCACGTTGATCCGGACTAGACCGAGCCCAGTTACATCGTTCAGAATACTGTATTTCTTGATTAAAACGAGGAACGAAGTATGTGCGTGCGTGCGCGTGCATGCGTGCGTGCGTGTCTATTTCGGCCTCTCTTTCTGTGTGTGACAATTTAATGGTATTATTTACGTTTTGGGAGCGAAAAACGAATATTACACTTGAAAAAAGATTACACGAAGAGGGATTTCCATTGTGAGTCAGGGAGGTCAAAGTACAGATCATATTAGTCAGTATCAACTGTTCAACTAATGTTGTATTTTCCGAGCAAAAGAGAAAGGCAGACAAGGTAAGTCAATGACCTAATTTGTTTAAGTAGGACACACGATAATCGGTCTGATCGAGTTTGTATATAGGACTACAATTGTGATAAGAAATAGAAAAAAGAAGACTTTAGAACCATTTGCTTAGTGCCTCCAAGGACAGTCCCATTCGGTTTACGTCCCACAACGACAGGTTGTAAATATTCTCATTTAGTCAAGACGGAAAAGAAACGCTCGGTTGTAAGCGAGTCGTTCAGAGTTATAATGAATGATATATTTGTGGGAAAGTAAAATAAAAATACCAAAAAATAGTATAATGCAATGTTGCTATTGGTTGAACAAAACGGGGAACTCCAACATACACATGTATATCGGCTTAAGAGTGAGTGAGTATGGCTTTGCGCCGTTTTAGCAATATTCCAGCAATATCACGGCGGGGGGACACCAGAAATGGGCTTCACACATTGTATCCATATGGGGAATCGAACCCGGGTCTTCGGCGTGACGAGCTAACATATTGACCACTAGGCTACCCCACCGCTCCCAGCACGAAGATTTGAGTCAGGAATATCCAGTTTGTGTTCAAACGTTGATCTGTTTGTTGTGTCAACGACATAATTTGGTATGATTCAATCATCCAATCCAATGAATCCAAAGAAGAAAAAAAAGAAGAAACCATCCTAGAAACTTATGCAATTTAATTCGCGATTGAAATAAAAAATTGTGAACAATGTTTATCTGGAGGCTGGTGCACAAGTATGTGGATGTAATCTGTTCACCTGATGATCTGGCCCCTATAAGAGACGATACCATAGAAATAGAACTATCCCACTTGCAATAATGGTCTGTTAACAAACAAAAACGTAATATTGCCGTGAGGTTACAGTAATGCAGTTCAATATATTTGTTCCAATTTTTCGTCAAAGCACGTCTTCCATAATAGCAAACAATTATTGGTCCTCTTTAAAACTCTTTAAAAGGTATGCACTGTCTATTGTCCAAAGTTTTATCAAAACGCTGTTCCTGTCTCTTTGCTGGTCTTTGCAACTGTGCCTGCCACAACCACAACTGTTCTGAACGTTGCCAAATTAATGCAAATGTTTCAAGAAAAATCGGCGTAGATTGCAGAAAAACAACCTGATTCCATTTATGCATTTATGTATTTACCTTAATGGTGTTAGTGAGCTAATTAATGTCATGCAACAATGTTCGTGTTTGTTCAGAATGACGCACATTTTAATAGCATGAGTATATTTTGAAAGAATGAATGCAGACATTGATTGGTATTCTATATGTATGATTACAGCTGCTTAAACTAATTACCATTGATGGTACCAATTCATGATGATTGGGAGATTTTACGTGTGCTTCCCGCATAATGCGTATCATTTGTGTCATTGTATCATTTGTCAGTTTGCATTGTTTTATATCGACGTATTTCGGGATTTGAGAAATAGACGGATTTAGACAGTTAAAATGGTGAAAGGGAATTAATGTCGGCTGATAGAAACGAGAATGGAATGAGTATAGTCAACTAGAGCCGAGAATGGAATGTGAACAGTCAAAATTCAACTATTATATATTTCTACAAAACAGACGAACGAAAAAGGTGTAGCTTAATAACTTATAATTTCGCATAAAAATCGACGCATTTAAAACGCCCCAAAACATCGCAACACCAGCCAAAGTATACACAGCGACAAACAATACAATGATGTTTGCAATGGTTGTAGCGTGTCCAGGTAATCATGTTAGACGTTCAATATTTGTTTAATATGTGTAATTAAATATTTCTGATTTCATTGCATGCAGATACATCGCTGAAAATGGCCAGACTAATCCTTACTGTAACACGGAACCCAAAAGATTGCAGTAGAGGTATGTTAGAGACGGGTCTAATAGAAGCGTCCATAAAATCATAACATATCTACATGATCCATGCAGCGCATTCGCATTTATGTAAGTTCATTTCATGTCTTTGATTGACATTTAAAAGTGATTCACATAGAGGGGAAGTTTATGCATGTCAACTTCTGTAATCTGAGGAACATGACGTTTTGGAGTATACTTTCACTCCATCACTTGAATGAAGGATGAAGGATGAAGGATATACTCTGAGACGTGGTGTCCCTCACATTATATAAGTTGGCATCCATACACTTCTCCGAGTCATTTTGGTTTGCCTCTGAGCCACGGGCTGAAATTAAGAAATAATTTTCAAGAGACCCATCCCTAGCAGATGTTTACAAACACAAGGATTGTCGCTGTTATTGCATGAATAAAGCACACTTTTCAAAACCGCCTGGGGCTTCCACATCTACGTGATACACTAGTCTTCTGGATCCAGTCGTATTTTCAATGTTCAGTGACGCATTAGTAATTTATTTATGAACAAACATCTTTAGTTTATGTTTCGACCGAGGGCTAATTTGTAAATAATATATTGGGCCCTAAAAGGTGACCCGACCTTCTGATATACATGTACATCTAATTTTGCCTTTCTGTTTTGTTTTCTGTTCTAAATTCAGTGTTCACATATCGTCATTTTTATCGTCAACAAACAAATAAACAACACTATGCTGGCTGGGTTGCAATTCCACAACTTGTTCTCCTTCAATATTTGTTTCATGGAAGCCTAACCTTATGTTGCGCTCATTAATCAAATAATGCTATCCAGCGGCAAGGCAATCTTTTTCTACATTGTCTACAGATATCGAGACACTGGTAGAAGACTGAAACAAAAAAAATCAATAACGACGGTTACCCTACCGCCACACATTTCTGTGCACGCTTCAGAAACATTATACGAACGTTTCTAACGATTGCAGGATCGAAGTGCTCGCGAGATTACGTTCCGAGACGAATCGATAGTGTTCAGTGTGTGTGTGTGTGTGTGTGTGTGTGTGAGAGAGAGAGAGAGAGAGAGAGAGAGAGAGAGAGAGAGAGAGAGAGAGAGAGAGGGAGAGATGATGTTTTTTATTGAGAAACATGTACAATTTGAATTACCCCATGCAATTTTTGTAAAAAGTAAGTGAACCCCCCTGCATGCCATGTACAAAATCAATCACCCCCTCCCACTTTCCATAATTTCTAAGCATATTTTTGTAATATTTTTTATGTACAAAATTGTTGCCCCTCCCTTTAGTACATGTGTACAAAATTGATGACCCCCTCCCCCTCCCAAAGAATAAAATGGGTGACCCCCTTAAAATCATCATCACCCCTAGCCATAAATTATGAACGGTCCCTTAGCTCAGTGGAACAAGTGCCCAACCACATGCTGTCCTACATATCATAAGCTGGTGGCTTGGAATTCTGGTTTGGAGAGTAGTGAGTGAGTTAGTGAGTTTAGTTTTACGCCGCACTCATCAATATTCTAGCTATATGCCGCGGTCTGTATGTAATCAAGTCTGGACCAGACAATCTAGTGATCAACAGTATGAACATCGATCTACGCAATTGGCTTGTCGCAAGAGGCGACTAACGTGGTCGGGTGGTCAGGTTCGCTGACTTGGTTGACACTTGTCATCGTATCCCAGATGCGTAGATCGACGGCCATGATGTTGATCACTTGATTGTCTGGTCCAGACCTGATTATTTACAGACGGCCCTCCCATTGCTGGAATATTGATGAGTGCGGCGTTAAACAACAAACAAACAAAACAAGTCTTTTATTGTTATCAAACACACTCACGTTGTCATGGCAATACTGTATGCATAAAAATTACCAGACAAATGTTAAACACAGCATGTGTTAAGAACACCAACAGATTAAATCTATCAGCACTGCATCGAATTGCCAATGGCAACAAGAACACGTGTACCTGTACCTTTTAAAGATGAACATACGCCAGAAGCCATCACAACGAGCCTCTGTGTGGGGGCGGCATAACACCTCAATAGTATGTGCATCGCCGGAAAATACCTACACATTCTTGTTCGCTGGGGTGGAAATACGTGGTACATGTGATTATATAGAATAGACTTAGATGCATTCTGAGCAAGTCAGTAAGTACGTATGTGTGGTTGTTGCGGTTAGTTTAACATGACACGGGTCAGAATGAACAAGCAGTTACTATGGCATCAGATGGGGGGTTTACGTGCAGGCTACAAATAAGGGAAATCGTAGGTAACATGATCATTTAAGTGATGCTGATAATATGCAAAACGTCGTAATCAGAACCTCATCACTGACGTTACTAAGGGTGTGTTAGTGCAGAGGTTAAGGTGTTCGCTCGTCGCGCTGGTAGTCCAGTTCGATTCCAAAAATGTTAAATGAGTAGGGATTCCCTGCTGTCCTACACTGCAGGAATAGTTGCTGCTATTACCTACACTGTATAAAATATCAACAAATACTACAGCCATGACTTCTATGAAAACTACCACTATTGGTTCTGGATTCGGTATTATGCAGGCTAATGTTGTGGCATCCGGAGGGATGGCACAGTGGTCATGATATCAACCACTGGTTTGCTTGGTCCAGAATGGGTTTCATAACACATGTGCACAAATATTGACACTGGCAGAAAACAACATTCACTCGGTCTCTTTCTTATACTTGCTGCCACGATAATGCCAATAGCAGGAGTTCGTAGATCACAATATGCCAGTTATATATTACGGAGCTGGTGAACATACCTTACTATAAATTGCGTTGTGCTAAATCATTAATCACCATATTCAAACCCAAATACCTGAGACATTCCAACATCTGCTGTGCCATGCAATACTGATAATAACGAAATATAAATCGAAATTAATCCATTTTTGCGAATTGTCCACTATAACGAAAAAATCTATACTTTTATCAGTACTTCGATTAAAATGTATTTTTTTCAAGAGAATGTCAGTGTTCCGAGTGTGACTCAGGTAACATTAGCAGGGAATCCCGGGTCAGAAAACGTCCTCAGCAACGTCTTCAACCTCTATCTCGACAGTGTAGGAAGATGCTTTTAGTTTTACTAACCAGACTCGTCATAAATTTCAGTATTCCCTCATCAAACAAGCAAAATCAAGGTGTTTTTTTTAAAACAGAAAAGTTGTTTTTAAAAACAAGGGTTTAGAAAATATAATCAAGTTTATCAGGGTTGACTTTCAAATTTCATCATTAATGAACTCCAGTTCATCTAGGTAAACAATCCCCAGAGGACTGTACTCTACAGAGGTAACGTTTTGCTGAGGCCAATTAAAGCCGCAGCAAGTCTAGTTAGAAAAGCCTTTGATTGTGGCGAATGTGTGCTGGGCTGTCTGTTCAGCGTCGACGTTGTATCGGGACTTGACTGACGGGCTCTGCAAGCCTTTCATTGTGGTACACGTTCCCTGTGTCCTACAACCTCACAGTGACAAGCCATCTTTGACAGAGAAAGTGGGAACTACTGCGCCGCCCAAAATTGTTGGATTTGGATGTACATTTGATCAGTTTCACACGAAAGACGAGGGAGTTTATCGGAGGTCGTCACGCATGGGTTGTGTTGAAGTTATTTACTTTTTAAAACTCACGGATCCTTTACACTGACGGTAGGTGTACGAGCTCTATGTAGCCCTACAAACAGATTTCGTTGGTATTGTTGTTGATGTCGCAGTTGTAAACGCTGACGTTTCAACATGCGGTGTCAGTTTTGTGTATTGGTTGTGCTGACGCTGTCTGGGGCAGTGTCTAGCTCAAAGAAAGATATTCAGATTGATGGATGTTCGTTCAAGAGCGGCGAGTGCTCCTACACCATACAACTCTCCAACATTGACGGGTACAGCTGCAAGAGCATGGTGGGACAACCGCTAGGGCGAAGCATGACACAGCTCCTTGGGGTCGACGGTCAAGCGCAAAATGACGTCGTTACCAAAGTCGACTCAATCAAGGAAAACTTTGAACAGGTTAAAGAAAAACACGAGGTAAGGATTAAGGAGCTGGAGAACTCTGTACAGGAGTTATTGGGCACTGACAAACGGCCATACGATAGGCGGAAGACCGTCCCTAACTTAACGGGTAAATCCTCCGCTTCTCGGGACCGGGTTCTGTCTGGTCTGACTCGGAATTTTGAATATTTAAGAGAGCAGATAAAAAGAAAAGAGCATGATTTGCTACAAACAGAGGTAAGGTTAAATGAAACCCGCAAGTCGTTGAATGACGCCCAACGGGAAGTCCTAAACGTCAACCAGCGTCTCCTTCACGCCGATAACAAGATCGCTTCCCTGACTCCGCGAGAGATCGATTCTGAAGAACCAGCTAAAGGACAAAACCTTCAAACTTGGGAAATCTGAAAAGAATCTGAATGAATCAACAGCGAAAGCAGGGTCGCTTGAAAACCGACTTCTGGGAGTAATAAGGAGTGAGAATATTGCGAGCGAGGATCTGTCTACTTGTAGGATTCTGTTGAACGAATCTGCTGCCAATAATCTGAAGGGTAAAACAAGGTACTCCGAGCTGCGACGCCGTCATGACGTCACCAAACATGAACTGAAGATCAGAGAAAGGGAGCTCATCAACTGCTACTCAGGTAAGAGGACAATCCCTTTATTTTAGACACTGCATTGCCTCGAGGGATGAGGGTAGCATGGTCTTTGGATGAGGGTCGAGGGTGAATCTAGCATTGGGTGTGGGGGTTGGGGTGGTGGGAGGGTAAAGGAGCTCATCAACTGCTACTCAGGTAAGAGGACAATCCCTTTATTTTAGACACTGCATTGCCTCGAGGGATGAGGGTAGCATGGGCTTTGGATGAGGGTCGAGGGTGAATCTAGCATTGGGTGTGGGGTTGGGGTGGTGGGACGGGAAAGGGTGGTCATCAACTGCTACTCAGGTAAAAAAGACAATCCCTTTATTTTAGACGCTGCATTGCCTCGAGGGATGAGGGTAGCATGGTCTTTGGATGAGGGTCGAGGGTGAATCTAGCATTGGGTGTGGGGGTTGGGGTGGTGGGACGGAAAGGGTGGTCATCAACTGCTACTCAGGTAAAAGACAATCCCTTTATTTTAGACGCTGCATTGCCTCGAGGGATGAGGGTAGCATGGTCTTTGGATGAGGGTCGAGGGTGAATCTAGCATTGGGTGTGGGGGTTGGGGTGGTGGGACGGGAAAGGGAGCTCATCAACTGCTACTCAGGTAAGAGGACAATCCCTTTATTTTAGACGCTGCATTGCCTCGAGGGATGAGGGTAGCATGGTCTTTGGATGAGGGTCGAGGGTGGGTGGTGTGGGTGTGGGTGTGGGTGTGGGTGTGGGTGTGGGTGTGTGTGTGGATGAAGTCGGGTGGTGGGGAGGGTAAAGGGAGCTCATCAACTGCTACTCAGGTAAGAGGACAATCCCTTTATTGTAGACACTGCATTGCCTGGAGGGATGAGGGTAGCATGGGCTTTGGATGAGGGTCGAGGGTGGGTGGTGTGGGTGTGGGTGTGGGTGTGGGTGTGGGTGTGGGTGTGTGTGTGGATGAAGTCGGGTGGTGGGGAGGGTAAAGGGAGCTCATCAACTGCTACTCAGGTAGAGGACAGTCTCTTTATTGTAGACACTGCATTGCCTCGAGGGATGAGGGTAGCATGGGCTTTGGATGAGGGTCGAGGGTAGGTGTAGGGGTTGGGGTGGATGAGGTCGGGTGGTGGTAAGGCTACAAATGAGGATGGGGATTTGGGTGGAAATTAGGGTGACTTAGGATGGTACATATGAGGTTTGGGATTTGGGTGGACATTAAGGTGAGTAAGGATAGTGCAGAAGATTTTGGGGATTAGGGTGGATACGGGTGCATGTGGGGTTGGGATGGCGGTAGGGATGGGTAAATAGTGGGGTTGCATGTTTTTTTAGTTATTACTCTTACTATTAATAATACGTAAAACCAGATACAAAACCTCTGCAGTCTGATGTCCAGCTTTTAATGGTTAGTAACCTGTAGAGTTAATACCTTCACTCTGGTTACATTCTTATATCAGTTGCTTCATTGTAACTGAGTTTTATTGAAAGTGTTTTACTGTGGTTTTCATTTTCAATATTAGTTATTGAAACCGCTGCTAATTGTGTGCGTCTACACGCACTGAATGTTGACATTAGTCAATCACAAACAAATCAACCATCAGTCAATTAAACAGTCACGTGATTAATACGTTTAACCTCAGCCAATCCCAACGAAAACATTAATCAAACAGAACCAGACTTTGGTGCAAAACTTACAAGTCCAGAATATTTCACTCCCAGTATTGATGTGGGGCTTGATATAGAGGACATAAAACAGACAACTATAGACGTCCCCAGTTGACTTGGTGGACGGTATGCATCAACTACCTCATTATAAGAACCCATCGCCCATGCACTTCGCCCTACAGAAATATCCCGAAAGCTATGTACTTTACAAATGTTCAAAAGAGTAGCTATAATTTTATAGGCGAAAGAGATAGTTATATATGAAGTAGAGAGAGACGCCAGAACACATCAAATGATATTTCCGCATCAGTTCGTACCTATAAAATAAATCCCACATCTTTGTTCGCTGTTTGTCCATTCCGAGTTTCATTGATACCCCAGGTAATATACAACAACTCCGGGGCTATGGAGATATGATAAGTATGGGCGCACCGCTGTCGGTGTAATGAGCCAGTCTATTGTCATCCTTCATTACATATATATACCCATAGCAATACAAGACCGCGCTAAGATACACTCTGCCACTCTACACTATAGGTTGTTCTGTTCTGATGACAAAACGCACGCCCTTCATTTCGAGTATGTATTCCCTACGGCCATGAGGCTGTATATTCACTTGGGTTATTTCTACTTGATTTTGACGTATTTGTACTTGAGCACAATGCCGGTGAATAAAAACTAAGCATGTTTGCTTAAGGGTCATAATACTGATTTATTGTTGAGATTATTTGCTGGGTGTTTCTGTATAATGTCATATCAAATAAAGCATGTCTCCGTAATACAGAATATTGCAACGTATGGATTTTTATTGATTCCATTGATAGAGTGAGTGAGTGAGTTTAGTTTTACGCCGCGTTTAGCAATATTCAAGCAATATCATGGTGGGGGACACCAAACATATGCTTCACACATTGTACCCATGTGGGAAATCGAACCCGGTCTTCAGCGTGACGAGCGAACGCTTTAACCACTATGCTACTCCACAGACCTTTACGTGACGAATGAATCTTAAAAGTAGTTCGTGCTATGTAAGTCATTTGCAGATTTCTCGAAAAGTAATAAGTAGTTTAACCGACTGGTTTATTGCACCAATAACACTATAGTATGACAGTATGCTACCGACTATATATGGTCTTGTACCGGCTACAGAATTGAGATATTTATAGTTTATAGTTTCAGAACCTGAACCTGAGGAAATTTTTAGGACTTTTGCGTTACAGAAAGAGTTGAGCGGAAGGGAAAATACTGTGGACTGTGAGACAGACTATGGTCTGAAGTATTTCTTCATATCGCACAACACTAAACTGAAAAGAATCTCAAGTGGTTAGTCTAGTGGTTAAAGTGTTCGTCCGTCACGCAAAGTTCGATTCCACGTGGTTCCAATGTGTGAAGCCCATTTCTGGTGTCCCAAGCCGTGGTTTTGCGGGAATGTTGTTAAAAGCGGCGTAAAACTAAACTTCCGAAAGTTTCCGAAAGCTAGTTTATAGATTAGTGAACACTCTTGCCTTGGAAGATACAACGAGATAGGAAATTCCAGAACATGTGGAGAATCTAGACTTGCTTCATTTATAACTATAAACGTGAGGACTGGGTGGAAGGTAGACTAACGCCATATATGTAACATTGAGAGGAACAAATAAACCCATTCAAAAGGAGCCCCAGTGAGTTGGGATAACCTGGGGAAATCTAGACTTGCTTCATTTAGGGCTTGAGCATTGCAGGGAGGGCTATGCAGTAGGGGAAATAATGTGGTTCAGGGACTGTGAGACAGACTATGTGGAAGGGGACATAATATGGTTCAGGGACTGTGAGACGGCCGACATGACAGCGACAACGACACTTATTATCCTGCGACGGTATCTACGGGAAACCAGTCATCGTTGACATGGACGCTTTTTTCATGACAAAGTGCACTCATCTGTTATCTGTCAAACTTGGCATGAGTGCACGTGAAAGGAAGGATGTTCAATAATTCGCTATCTGTGTATGCAAAGGTCAGGGGCCGAGTCTTTGATCGACAGGAATAAAATACCTTTTCCTGCCAAAACCTGTCCCAATGATAAATGGGTTTTCAGTGCTTTGAGGTCCAGTTCTGAGCTCTGAGCGGACAACCTTTTGGGCCAGTTGGGTTCGGGTTACTGAATACTGTTGGGTTACTGAATACTGAAATGTACTTTGAGTGTAGATGGGAACGTCATCCACGGGAACGTCAATTACTTGCGCATGCTTAATTTGTACCATGGTGAACAACACCCTGAGACGGAAGTCCCCCTTCACCCATCCCCTTAGAAACCCAAGTAAAAACAAAACAATTCAACACTTATAAAAACACTTCCCCGAAAACCTAAGCCAAATTAACTCCCCCTTAAAAGAAAACAAAATAAAACAAAACAGACCCCACAACACACACACCACCCCCCCCCTCAAAAACAGACACCCCCAGAAACAACAGACACAAAACAATCCCAACCTTAAGTAAAACTCAAACAAATGATGTGTATAGTCAAATCAAAGTCAAAGAGGTTCACTTGACTTTGATATATATAATAAAGGTTCCCTCGTCCACCTCTCTGTCATTCCGTAATACATTGTCTCTAACTCACATAGTGAGCAGATATTTTAAATATATTTATATATATATGTAGTTCAGTTGTATTTTCATCTTATTGGGGTCCCAATCTTGACACAAAATCTTCTACAACAGCTGATTGTAACGTGTAATTGATTTGAGAAGTTCAAACGCGAGAACCTTTGACACAAACCGGACCTTACACATCGAAATAATTCCTCACATGTCGGGATTGGACATCACAGATGCCAGGCATATCGACGAGATTCATCTAGGCTTTGTACAGAGAAACAATTTCACCTTGCCATTTAAAACACGCAGATATCTCTCTAACATGAGCCTGCTAAGCCCTATAACCAGCCCAGACTCTCAGTCTTACCCCAGCAGCCATGTTTATTGTCCACATTGATGCCGTGACTTCTTCTCAATCCCCAAACACGTCTTTGCCATGAACTTTGACCTCTGTGAAAGGTCAAATTATCATAAAGCCGACTGACTATACGTATTCTTTTTGTACGGTATCGTTTTCTAAACAATTATCACCATTTATAGCGTTTACTGCACATTTATTCGGACGGGGAATGATTGTAAAATAAGAAAGCAATTTGAACACCATTTACGCATTTGTATATATTGAAATTAACCTATAAGAAATATCATGTATCCAATTACGTTCACATACGAACAGACAAGCTCGGAGTTGACCAAGCGAGTTTGATTTCCCCTTTAATACAATGAATAAGTCTTGAATATATTGTACGGCAACATGAATTTTATTTGAATGTTTAAAGTGTAAAAAAAATAA